CCAAAAAAAAAAAAAAAAAAAAAAAAAATTGTTAACGAACAGAGTTTAAAAAGTTGGTGCGACGTTTTCGAAAAAATAACCGTGTGCTTGTCGTGTGCGTTCACCGCATTTTTTTTCTCCTCTCTCTCTCTCTCTCTCTCTCTCTGTCTTTCTCTGTTTCTCACAGGTGCGCTGCAAATCACCGCATCGGACGTGAACGACCAAGGGAAGTACGAGTGCGTGGCGAATAATTCCGTCGGCACGGAGTACTCCAAGTCGGCGATGCTTTACGTGAAAGGTAGGTAAAGTCCGGCGTAAAGTGACGGGAGAATGAGCTTTCCTCCCGGAAGAAACCGTTCCGGGCGGCTTCTTACCCGGTTACCCGGTTAGCCGTTTCAACGTGAATTCATTACAAAAACGTGGCGCGCGCGCGGGTTAAATCCCAGTCGTTTTCCTGTTTGCAATTAAAATTAATGCCACGTAATTAAAGCGTAATTAAACTAAGCTGACGGGGCACAAAGGATTCGCGCGGTTGGATGGAATCGCGTGGCAAATATTATGATGCGGCGAACGCAGGCATTTCTTGCCGGCGCGGCTGCTACTGTCCCACCCGCGGGGGATTCAAGTATCGCGTAATCAAATACTCGGCCGCCAGGTTTCGAGTCCGTACGCGCGTTAATTGCCACCGGAACACGTGCACGTTTCTCTCTTCGCGTTGTCGCTGGGAAAAAAAAAATTCATTTTTCGAGGTCCCACGGATAAAGGAAACGTTTCAGGAGGACGTGTATCATCCCCCACCGTCGAGTTTGACTCCTTTCGGTGTTTCAAAGTGTATTTAATTTTACAGCAACGAACTGCGAACTAGTCTCGTCTTACCGAGAGTGATAATTTTACTTGCAAGTGAGACTTTAATACTTTGTGCTTCGTTGCGTTCGATAAATGTAGGATACTCTGCACGTCGCGCGAGGAATTCTTAACCACTTGCGCTGGCAACTGATTGCGGACCATAACGAGCGACCCCAAACGGTATACAATAGTTCGTTGCTTTCTTTCTGAATTCGTCGGTACGATATCATCGCTGGATAGAAATTATCGAGAAGTAATAATAAATTTATTATTTGTTTTGCCTGTTTTGTTTTGCTTAATTATACTTAAAACTGAGAAAATATTACAATTTTGGGAACGAGAGATTCTGACGCGCGAGCGAGTGTTTTGTTAGCTCGATCTGGATGAACCATAGGTTTTAGATCTTCTGAGCCGAATTGGTTAACAAAAATTTGTCGAGGGCCGCACATAGTTTACATACTTTCTTATCAGTTCAATATAGCCTATATTGTTCATGAGGATATCGAAACAGCTTTTTTTATAACGAAAAAAATACATTGATTGGGAAAATATGTTTATATTAATTTAAAAAATGTGAAAATTTTTCGTTTAAAGTTTAATATTCTTGCGCCAACGGTCAGAGTTACTCATTCATTTTTTGAAACTCTGCTACTAATATATCTCTTTGCGTAATATACTCCACCGATTAGGTCCCGATATCAAAGGTAGGTTTTCAACAAAATTTTCTTCGTTTCTTTTCGCGTACTGCGACTAGTTCGACGAGTCGCGCCCACTTTCTCGATTCCTCCGCCGCCGGTGACCGAGGTAAGATCCGGTGGATCTTTGAACCTGACATGCGTCGCCGTTGGCTCGCCAATGCCGTACGTCAAGTGGAAGAAAGGTCCATCGACGGATCTCACGCCGGATGACAATCTACCAGTGGGTAGAAACGTCCTGACACTGACCAACGTGAAGGAGTCGGCCAACTACACCTGCACAGCAGCCAGCGATCTCGGTATCATCGAAGTGACGACGATGGTGAAAGTGCAAGGTTCGTATCATCGTATCGCGTGCTACTGTGCGCAATAACGCACACAACATCGTGTCGTTTCGCATCGTATCGTATCGTATCGTATCGTATCGTATCGAAATGGATCGAAATCGCGCGTAAATCCTCGGGAGATCGCGCCGGCGACCTATCGAACGTACGTAACGTGAAACGATCAATCAAACGGTCGGTGTGTGCGACCGTGTGTTCCAATGAGAGGCACGCACCCAACGAACCGTGGCGGTATAGGTTCCGTGACTAATCAATCGGCTTACGCGGTGCAACCGTACTTTGTGAAAATTGGCGAAACGTGGGAAACGCGCGAAGAACCGATCGCTATCCGTGCGTTTCGCAAAGTTGGCTTGGCGTTAAAGCCAAGCAGGCGCGCAAAGCATTCGTCAAAGGGCGAGGAGATGTGCATCGGTATAGTTTGGTAATTGCAAAACTTCGGGATTTTTCCAAGTTACTCGAACGGGGATATCTTTCCAATTACGGTGCAAGTTTTCCAAAAAAAAAAAAAAAAAACTCTTTCGAAACTTCTGCTTCGTGAGCCGGGTATCGTAAACTCGTGCGAACGAATGAATTTCAGCTCTGCCAAGTGCTCCGGAGAACGTTCAGGTGTCAGACATCACTGCCACGTCGGTGAAGCTCACGTGGTACTACAAAAATCCGGAGGAGGTCCAGTACTACGTGATTCAACACAAACCGAAGCACGTGCAGCAAGCCGAGGCGGAGATATCGGGCATCACGACCATGTACTATCACGTCCGTAGTCTGAGCCCTTACACCGAGTACGAGCTTACCGTGACAGCCGTGAACGCCATCGGGCGTAGCCCCGCCAGTGCCCCGGTGACAGTCACCACTGGAGAAACCAGTCAGTATTTCTTTTTCCTACCCTCTGTAAAACGCTTTTCTCATTATACTACACATCGGCAGCCCGCAAACATCTCGCAAATGGATCATCTCGCTTCTCGTCGACGCGGCCACGTTCACACCATTTTTCAGGGTCATTGTCGTTGTCGCATCGTCGAGATCCGCGGGGTATTATCGCGCGGTTACTACTACTGTCTCAAACGTTCTGTCGTCAGTAACACATACACACACACACATACACACGTGGCGCCTAAGTTTCACGAGGCTCGACTCGACGCGTTATTTTTTTCGATCGCGTACAAGGACCTTGCAAAAAAGGTGCACCGGACACAACCGAAATAAGAACACGTCCGCTAGAAACCGCGGACAAGAGATTTTTGTCGCGCAGCAACGCGCGAAAAGATAGCTTATTAGCGTCCGGCGAGCGTACAGGAAATTTTTGCACGTAGACAACAATGTTTTTTGCACCTTGCGAGAACGAGGGACAAGTTTTGACACGGTTTTTGAGGGAAATTATACCTTTTTTTCCATGCTGTCCGCCGTGGACGCACGATTTGACTCATGTAAGTGACAAGACATTTTTTTTCCACCTATCACCAAAAAAAAAAAAAAAAAAAAAAAAAACTCCCCTTTCTCTGTGTCGCACCATGTGTTAGTGTTTTTGTCGGATCCGTGTTCGGCGCGTCGCGCTTCGACGTTTCGCTCTGCATTTTTCCGTCTCTGCCTCGCTCTTTCTCTCTCTATCTTTCTCTCTATCTCTCTGTCTCTCTCTCTCTCTCTCTCTTTCTCTCTCTGTATCATCACCTACTACACTCCCACGTCTCTCCGTCTCTTTTCCACGGAGGAAAGAGTAAAACCAATACGCGGAGAGACAGCACGCGAAATTGCACCTTTCCTCGATAAAGTAGCGCACTCTTCGCACCCAGTGGAAATACGAACAGCCAGCCATCCGCGATAACTCCGGATATTCGTATTTTCACCGTGCAATTATACACACCACTCAATCGATTATCATCGAAAAATAATCGTTCGTCCTTTTTTTCAATAGCGGAATCGACAAATGGAGGTACCAGTAAGTTCAATCATATACTAAGAGTGCTGTAGCAAAACGTACTTTGCCTCTTGTCTAATTCTCTTCCTCGTTTTCTTTTCATTCCTCTTTTCTTCTCATATTTTTCTTCTTGTTTGTTTTTTTTCTTTTTTTTTTTACTTGTTTTTTAGTTTCTCTCACGTTTTGACTTTTCGTTCTCTTTCTTTCTCCCCTCCCCCTTTCTTAGTTTTGTTCCCTTGTTTCCTTTCGTTCAATTTCTCTTTCTTTACCCGAAACTTCGCGTTTCATTCAAGCACACGCACATGTTGGCCGTTCGATTCACATCAGCACTCACACCGCAGCAGTCGACACTTATGGCATATGTGTATATGGAGACAAAGGCGTACACCGTACTTGTAGCTAATCAACGAGACACGAACACGTTCTTGGTCATTTCATTAGTAAATTGCGTTCTAATCACGATTATCGCACAGTGCATTCTTTTTTTCTCTCTATCTCTCTCTCTGTCTCTTTCTCTATCTGGAGTTCCTGTTTCTTTTTTTTTCTTTTTTTTTTCTTTTTTTTTGTTAATTGTGGTATTTTATGGTGTTGCTCCCGGGGGTTTATTTGTATCTCTCCTCTCCAAGTGACTAACTAGATTGGCTTGTCCACCAATCGGAACGCGATTCGAGAGAAATCCAAGCTAATTTCTTCGTTCTAGAACCTGGTACTGCGCCACGGAAGGTGGTTGCCCGACCATTGAGCTCCAGCACAATGGTCATACAATGGGACGAACCGGAAACGCCGAACGGGCAAGTGACGGTCAGTCTTTGTAGCTTACAAGTTACACGCTACCGTTTCAAAGTATGTGGACTCTTACAAAGCTAGAAATACCAAGTCTCAGATTTTCTTTTGTTACAATCACTAAAAAAAAAAAATATATATATATATATATATATATATATATATATATATATACATATATATACGTTCATCGGCGAAATTCATATTTGCTTTTTATTTGAACAAAGACGTAATTAATGTCACTTTAATTACATTTAGTTGCACGTTTAGTTGCACACAGACTGGTAATTCTAGCATTGATTATATAGCTCCTTTTCATCAAATTAGGACCGCGCGCGGAATTTTACTTTTCTAATTATAACGTTATGATGCGTGTACACGTACTATGTAAATTGGAAATTATCGTTCGTGGTCGAAATTACTGCTGAATACGTGAACGATATAATGCGTGCCGGGATATTCCGCGCAACTGGAATCAGGCTACGGTTTTTTCTTTTTTTTTTTTTTTTTTTTTTGAAAAATATCCCCGATCCTTGACTACAATTTCCAAAGGTTGCAAAGATTGAAATCAAACAGATACAAAGAAAGGGAGGGGAACAAAAGAAATATAAATAATGGAGGGAACGCCGTCGAAGAAGAATAATCGCGTTGCGTATCTACGAGGCCGTTATTTACCGACGCGGCGATAAGTAATTGCCCAACGCACGAAAAGTGATCGTCCGCTTTAAATTGAACGCAGTGACACGCGTCCTTTTCGACCCGTCCGTTCGATCCCGGCGAGGAAATACGAGAAATACTCGGAAACCAAACCCTCCGGTCGCGACTCATAATTTTTTTACTTGTTTCGAACGTCGAACGATCCCCAATGGCGTTCAACTTTTCCAGAAGCTAAATAGCTAACCTTGACCGGTGTGCTTTTTGTAGAGAATTTTGATCGTACAGCTATTTAATCGTACATAACCTCACTAATTTTTGCACGATATTAACGATACAAAGATCGAACGATCTTTGTGGCGTTCAACTTTCCCAGAACCCGAAGAATTAATCGTAATGAAGTTAGCCTTGTCGAGTTCAGTTTTTATACAGAATTTTGATCATACAACCATTCAATCACACATAACCTTGGTAGGTTTTCACGATACTAGCAATTTACTCTCTTCATCTCGTTCCCTGTATGACAAGCAGCCGTGAAAGTGACACGGTTAACCTCATCATAATGACAAATACCAACTAGCAATTATCGCGCACGCGCAGTCAAGAGCACGCTCATCGAGTTTAATGACTCACGTTCGGCAGTGACGCCGATTTCTCTTTCTTACGGCTGGTCGTCGCGTACACACGTACACGTACACGTAACGACACATCGCGGCGATACACAAGGGGAAAAGGGAATCGGAGTCGCGCTGGATCTCTCGAGTTTCGCGAAAGTTGCGCCGCAGAGACGCTTAACGAGAACGTAACCTTGTTACGCGATTGGATCGACGTTCGCCGCGACACGACGATACGATAATCTTGTCCCGTTATTGCGTAATTGCATTAACGCCTTTGCGCGCATTGAATTTCACACACACATACACACGCGCGCGCGGAGAATATCGACGACCGCCGATTAAACGACGCGGCGAAATCGTAGAATATCGTCGAAGTTTATATGTCTGTATGTACGTACTTTAAACGCGGAGTAGGTGGTAAGCAGCACGCGCCGTTAGTCAATCGATCGTTGAAAAGTGTCGAGCGAGTGTGTACTTCTTCGATGTATTCTGTTTATTCCTACAACTATCATGCGTTCGTTGGAATTCTTGTATCCCCTTTCGTGGATACTTTATTAACCATTTTAGGGGCTATTTAAAAATAACCTCTTGTAATTGCGAAAAATGCCAAACATAACCTAACTTAATAGGTTTAATAACCTAAGATAAAGTAACTGCCTGTTTACGCACGTGGTTCAGGTTGAAGGAAAGTAATTAGGAGATGAAGCTTCGATATGATCGAAATCGGGCGCTGTAAATTGAGCGATGATATTTCGTTATCTGCCTCTGTGTTCTCACGCATTTTTTATCTGGAACACCTCCGCCGTGTTCCGCGTTCTGCGTTCCTCTCGGACAATCGCAATCTAGCTCCGCCATAATTTGTTTTGCACGGTTTACCGACGGAAAAATCGCCCAGGCAGAGAAGAGAGACCGAAGACAATACCGTTCGGAGAGCACTTTATCATGCAATTACGGCTATCTCGCAGAAGATCGACGACACGGGATTCGATCGCTCGTGCGCATGCGCGCTCGCCTCCGCACCGACACTAATTCAGGCGATAATACAGTAATTGTTAAATCTGTGTGCCCGTTGAATGCAAAGAGAAAAAAAAAAAAAACTACGATCAACTCTCGCTTCGTCTGCTCGCCTGTACGCGTTCGTATATCGATCGGTAACACAGTTTGGACGAAAAACAAGCGAGGGGAATATTATCGACAAGCGGCAGCCGCGTGTCACGCTCGGAATTTCGCGGTTTTCGCAAACGGCGGAGAAATTCGTGCGACGCGATCGATATAACCAAAGGAAGACACTCGAGAGAGTCGTCGATAGGAACGGCTAGGAAGGCACACATCAAACGGTGAAATTGGCGGCGTAAAGTTCGCGTTTACTGGCGGCTGTTTCACGACGGTACACGGTACACCGCTTACGTACCGTGAAGAGGGCGTTACGGCGTGACGTCACGCCGCTACGAATACGCGTTTAACGAGACATCGGTGACGTTACCCTCATAAACCTCCCGAGCTCGGCCACCCATCACCCGTCTCCGTGAACCGTTTCCACGAGAATTCTCGACTTTCTTCCCAAGTCCCTAATTCGCTCACTGGACCGAGTTGAACGGCCGTGAATGCGTAGAACATTTATTAATTTCTTTTCTTACTACATTTTTGTGTCGATCTGAAAAAAGGTTCCATACAACGTATGACATACGTACATTGATTTGATTTATTTCCAAATGCGAAAATAAGTAGTACATGTTGCTTCATATACAGTGCGTTTCATATAAGAACGTAGACGCCATTTCTCTGAAAAAGAATATTCCTTTTGTAAAGAAATTTTGCACAGATCGAAAGTACACTTGAAATATACTGTTACACGCATTATCCTGTCCCATAAACTGCATTGTAATGACATGCCACGCACGTCGAGAACATTTGGCCGAAAATTGCAATATTTTTCGTTTATATGGTATATCGAAATATAACCCAGGCAAAACGAGTAATAAATTTATTACTTCCCAGTAATTTATATCCAGTGATATACCGATGAATTCAAAAAAGAATACGACATTTATCATCACGACGCGTTGTCGCGATTCCCATCTTCGTAACAACTCTGTCTCTTTTCTCCAAATGACGTAAGAGTTCGGATTGTTTTCCGTTTGCGCAGGGCTCGATATATAATACACAGGGATCGTTTTCAACGGGCGGCCGACGTCCTCGAGAGTTAGTCACCTTGAGCACCCTTAATTCGATTACTCGTCGATCCTGCGAACACTCGCTTCCTTCGTTGGCTCTTCTCAGTCACTCTTGCGCTCCTTGCTCTCCCCCCTGCCTCCGTTAACTGCCTTTCTATGTACCAAATCGAACGGGCGCCATCAATTTCAGGTAAGTGCACCGAGGGAAGCATTCCACGCCACTGATTTCGCAATAAACCTCTTTGTTTCTCCTGCTGTGTGTACGTGTGTGTGTGTGTGTGTGTGTGCGTGCACGTACGTATAATACACCCAGTATACGGCCAGTAATCGTTAGAAAAAAAGAAACAAAGGAACAGCGCTACCTAAACAACTCGTGTGAAACGATGCATTGAACGACGGTCATCTTTGGGGAGATGTTGGCCGCGGTATTTATGCGAGGATTATGCGAGCACAGGGTGTACAGGTGTAACTATACACGTGGCGTATCAGCGGCGGGTAATTACGCGGCCTCGGAAGTTAGCGTGGCCGTCTCGGCGACCAATAAAGTAAATTGTATCGTGGCCACGGCAAATAATGATAATTAACGACGATCGAGGACCCGGAGTTTCCGACGAGGTTCTCAGTGCTTTTAAGGACCCTCAAGAAACCGATCCGCTTTGCCGGAGAAACTACCGACAAAGAAACCGTTTCCTAGCCATATCTCCCCCCGCCTCTCGACGGACGGACCCTCGCGCGCTTGGGGAACCCATCGCGTGCATCGTCGCCATCATCTTCGACGTATACATAATTTCGTTCGGTTGCTCCCTAATCGAGACCTGTCTCGCTTCTTCTCCCTCTCTGTCTCCTCTCGCCCTCCTCCTCCTTCCTCCGTTTAGTCTTGGTTTACTGCGTTTCCCTTCGTCGTCGTCGTCGTCGTCGTCGTCGACGACGACGACGACGACGACGACGAAATAGTTCCCCTATTTTCACGCATCAGGTGCGTCACGAAGCTCTTACAGTGCCCGGAGGCATCGATCTCTCGGCCACTCGAATTCGGCTTGGTCATGTTCAGTTCAGGGCAAGTAAGTAAGTAAGTAAGTAAGTAAGTAAGTAATTTCGAAACAGGTTGCCGATGGCTCTTCTCCTTTAGGCAGGGTGATCAAGGCGCGCGAGGTCGAAGATATCTCTCTCTCTTTCTCTCTCTCTCTCTCTCTCTCTCTCTCTCTCTCTCTCTCGCTGGTTCTTTGCACCTAGAAACGAAAACCGTACGTAGACGAGTAGGATCGAGGTAGAAGAAGGTTGAGATAGGGGGGTTGCTCGTCGCTTTGAGGGGTGGTGGACGAAGGATGGACCGAGGGAGAGCCAAGCGGCCGGGAGGAAGGAAAGGGTACGAGGAAGGTGGCAGTAGAGGGTGTAGAATGGGTCGCCGGTAGAGGGTGTAGAAGGGGGACGAATGGGGGTGGCGGTGGTCGTGAAGGGTGGCCGATGGTGGCGGACGCGGGTGGAAAGCGAAGAGAGAGAGAGAGAGAGAGAGAGTGAGAGAGGAGAGAAGGAAGGGTGGAATGGGGGGACGCCTAGCTGGAAACGCGTCGGTTCGCCGGCACACTAAGTATAGGCGTCCTCGCGACGCCGGCCGTCAATATACCACCCCTAACTAACCCCCCGGGGTCCGTGGGTGTTACTGGCTGGTAGAGAGCGAGAGACGACGCGAAGAACGAAAGAACGGGACGCGAGGAACGTTGGTGCGAGAAACCAACGGGGTTGGCGAGAAAGGAGGAGTGCGACGAAGAGAAAGATAGCGGAATAGATGTTGAGGGAACCGAGAAGGAGAAAACACGACGAGGGTAGGTTACTTCTGCACGAGGGATCGTCGTCGTCGTCGTCTTCGTCCTCATCCTCGTCGTCGTCGTCGTCGTCGTCGTCGTCGTCGTCGTCGTCGTCGTCGTCGTCGTCGTCGTCGTCGGCGTCGTCGTTCCCGTTGCCGTCGTCGTCGTCGTCGTCGTCGTCGTGCTCCTCGTCGACGTCGTCCTAGTCGTTGTGTGTACGAGTGTAGGTGGGCACCATCCAACCATCCTATCCCATCCTATCCTCCTGGCGCTATCCTATCCTGGCGTAGCTTAGTTTAGCTTAGGGCCCTGCCATCCGGGAGGTTGCTGCCATCAGAGGGAAAGAGGTAGAACGGCAACAGAGAAAGGAAGAGATAGAGAGAGAGAGAGAGAGAGAAAGAGAGAGACGATAGAACGTAGATAGAACGAGGACGGATAGATACCGTACGACGAGGGTGAAACAGAGAGGAAGAAGCACGCTGATAAACGAAGATAGAGAGAGGAAGAAAGAGAGAAATAGGAGAGAAAGGAAGATAGGCTATCCGAGTATAGGGTTGGTGGTAGGACATTGCGGATATATTCGCCTCTATCCAGCAAACCGGCCTCCTCCGCGCACGGTGTAGCAGCATCCTCTCCGGCGTTTCTCTCTCCTGGCCATCCTGCGACGTAATCAGCGAGAGAACCACCACCCACTCTCCTCCTCCAACCCACCCACCATCGACCCCTTTCTGCTCCACCTCCTCCTCCTCCTCCACCTCCACCTCATCCACCTCCTCATCCTCTCTTGCTCTTCCACCTCATCCCGTTCCCTCCCCCCGTCCCCCTCCCCCCTCTTCGTCTCGCGTCTCACCGCGACCACCTACCACCATCCCCCTTTGCTCCTGTCCGCTTTGCGCTACCCCTCGGCATCCCTTGCTCTGGCTGCCGTGGCATGCATCTATCCGGACGTCTATCTACCTATCTATCTCGATGCACTGGGTGTCCGCTCGAAACCGGCTTCCATTCCCTCCTCCCTCTCTTTCCCTCTTGACGCGATTCTCCTCTCTGTTTCTCTCTCTCTCTCTCTCTCTCTCTGTCTTTCTATTTTGTGTGAATCCTACCTTACGGTGACGATCCAGCCGCGAGACTCGGACCCGTGATGGGATAGTTTCGAGCTAGATCCTTAATGGCGATCGCGGTTCCAGATACCTGCCGGTAATTCTCGATGAAACACACGGTCTAGAGTATATATACATATGTGTGTGTGTGTAATATCTACGCGGCAACCGAGGAAAAGAGTAAACGTATCACGGTTCCAGCCGTTCGACGAAGAATTCTCTGCCGTTATCGGCAAACTAATTAACACGCGAGGACGCGTTTGGTTCCATCGGTGACACTTTTTATTAACGACACGCGTTAGTAGTTCAGTCTCGAAACTAACCTCACGCCCAGGCTCGCGTCTTTGTGTACCCACCCCGCCGCCTTTGAATACATTCTTTTCAATCTCGCGGGACAACGTTGATTTCATTCATAAGTATTCACGGTTACTTCGGTAAGATCCGGCCTGACGATCCTTAACGATACTCCGCCTTATTTAACGCCAGTTTCTCAAAAGTGCTTGAAGTTCCCTTTAACGGGGAAACTTGCTCCCGTAAGCGAACAGCAAGAACCAAAGTAACCATCGAGTCTGTGCGGATTAGAAAAAGAATCTTGAAGTAACCTTTGGTAAAAAGGGAAATCTCTCTCGCAACATCTCTCGGAACAATAACTACTCAGCCGGCAATCGTCGAATCATCCCTCTTACGATCGAATTAGTAACTTGACGCCTTGATTAATTACTGCTCGTCCGTTTGTTTCGTTTCGTTCGGAAACAAAATAAAACATCTGAAAAAGAAAAAAAGAGAAAATTATACATCGACTTGTGTCTCGTAATTATAATTGTTACAGTTGTAGTTCGACTTGTTTCAACCTTTTCGGGAAGTTTCGCGTTTGAAAGAATGTTGACGTCGTCGAGTAACAACGAAGCAAGTCTTTCGATTGCTCTATACAAGAATTCGCCACGCGAATTACGAAGGTGCGCAAGGACAAACGACCGTACGGGAGTACTGCTCTCGGGTATACATGTGTATCTGTTATTGTGATATGGATGTTAATAGGTTAGGGGGTCTCCGGAGAATGTGGGGTGAATCACGATTTCGATAAGGGTTTATATTCCTCCCGTTCTCGTCCATTCTTGCCTCCCTTCCTCGTTCTCCACTCGCCCTGCCTCCCCTTCCCTCCCCTCCTCTCCTGGGCTCTTGCTCTTCCTCTTTCTTCTCTCTCATCGCTCGTTCGCCTCTCCTTCTCGCCGTGCACGCCTCTCTTCCTCTTTCTGCGTTACATCGCGTTCTAGCTGCCTGCCTGGTTCTCCCTCTTCTTCCGCCATTTGCTCATTGAAAACCGGCTCTAGGGCTTCCAGCGTGCTGAGTTTGCACGTATATGGGTCCCTCTTTCTTCCTATCCCTCTCTTTCTCTTCTTTCAGCGAGTCCTGCATGCGTGCGTGCGTGCGTGCGTGCGTGAGTGAGCGAGGAGTAAGTGAATACGCGTGTGTCTGTATACGTACGTACTTACTTTATAGCGCCGACGTCAGAAACACGTGTACGGCTCGTTAGAGCACGGCGAGGCACCGCTTGCCGCCCCGCTTATGTATCACGGGTATTCGTAATGATCGGCCGTCAATGGGAGCAGCTTAAACGGTTCTTCTCCACCTCCACGGTTCTCCAAACATTTATAATTTACACTCGTAAACGCACCGTGATCTGATCGCAGAAACTTTTCCGCCATTACTGTGCCGGCCTCTACGTCATAACCTAACGACAATCGATATCGATCGAGTATTAGGTTTGACAGGTTTAGCAGATTATTGCCGCCCTTTTATTGCAACCATTTAAAGTTGTTGGTAAGGTAGTTCATTTACAATTTAAACTCGTAAACACACCGTGATCGCAGAAACTTTTCCGTCATTACTGTGTCGGCCTGCGTTATAATCTAATGACAATCGATATCGATCGAGTATTAGGTTTGACAGGTTTAGCAAACGTTTGCCGTCCATTTATTACAATCGTTTGAAATTGTTGGTAAGGTAGTTCAACAATTGTATCGATTGGAAACAAAGTTCAGAGAGTATACGCAGCTTCTCCCTTTAAGTTCATTCAACGCAACGAAAACGAATAGACGACGCTGTGTGAAGTTTAAAACTAGGCTCGTGCCGCGGTAGTTCCATTCTCCGCGCTACACAATCAACGGTATAATCCGTTCAGTTGGCCAACGAAGTTACGAACTTGCTCCTCCGTGTCTTTCCAAGTCGAAAGTATTCCGAACAGCTGTTCCCGTCACGATCAACGGCGGGGAGAGACCCACGGAATTTTAATAACGTCAATTGCGATGTTTCCTGCCGCGAAGCTGTTTGTTTATTTCTCCCGGATCCAGCGATCTTCGAAGTCGAACGTCACGTGACGAGCTGCGATCGAAAAAGTGGAAACGTGTTTTAATTTTACGAAACGTCGTTCGAACACGTTCGAACACGTTCGAATACGTCTTACGCCAACGTTCGTCGCTACGTGAAAATAAAATAAAATGAAATAAAATCGCGATATTTGGCACGGATAATTGATAATTTGATATTTGGATAAAATAAAGATCACAAAAATCCGTCTCGATCATCGGGAATTTGTCTCGCACTACATTGACTTTGAAGGTTAGTACTTTTTTTTCTAATGACAAGATGGCATAGTACAACGTAATAGTAATAGAAAAGGTGTATGCGTCAACTTCACGAATCGCGAATATCGCAAATAACGTAATCGACTTATAATGTGCGGAACGAAGTAAGCCGAATTGAAGCGAATGTTTAGTCGATTACAGATATCGCGCGTCTTTTCTATAGAAATATTATTGATCTAACCTCAATTATTTCGCGGTGATCACGTGTATAAGAACATCAGTGTAACTTTTTACATACTCGTCGCACCGTACTTGGCGAACTATTAGACAATTCTACAATTAGCACGAAAATTAAAAAAATATTTCATTATTAATAATAATAATATGTATACTATATATATATTATTAATAGAATTTTATCTTTGCAAATAAACTTACAATTTCATTTTCAGATACAATATTAAAATTTAAAAGTTAATTGCTATTAATTAAAAAAATTAAAGATAAATTTAATATAAATTTCACGTCCGAGATTAACTGAAATTTATGGAGGACCTGTAAATTTGCTAAATTGTCCACACAATTGCGAGGGATGTGAAAGACGTGTAAAAATGTCCAGTTAACCTTTATCGATAAACGTAGTATATAATTATTAATTGTACCATAAACGACTGCCGTATGTAATTATTAATTATACCATGAACGACTGCCGGTTTAAATATCGCATGGCCAGCGATGTCAAAGCGTTTCGATTCTCTTGAATGACGACGAATCGCAGACGAGTGTTCGCTCATTGTCAATCTTCACTCTTTAAAATCCTGTTGGAGTAGCCAGACGGATGTTTCATACCGCGTTTACACAGGCTTAATAAAAATTGTTGCGTTGTCGCGGGCGAGGCATTATTATTATAGACGCAAATCGGGGTCGCGCGATAAAGGTCTGAGCGGGGCTGAACCGTGTGTCCCCGGTGTCAGCCGACCTTTCCCTCCGACGACACGACCGCTCGCGCGAGCTACTCGCGCGAGTTTGATTTTACAGTTTTCCAAACATACGCGAGAGCATCGCGACGACCTCGGTTCGCAAGGCACATGGTAAACCCGCGTAGGTGTAAACTCCAGGGGGGCGTGGGTGTATGTGTGTGTGTGTAGGGCGCCCGTGCAGCTCGCCGCACGTAGAGACGGGGCGCACACAGAGGAGCTTGGTGGAACATCTAGCCAAGGTATATAGGCAGGCAGGGACTAGGTACTATCTAGTATCTAGTAATACCGGGTACTAGGTACGTACGCGCCGCGGACGCCAAATAGTGGTTCGCATATTCAGAGAGATAGCGACGTCGCTCGGTGCGATCGCCCCTGATTTAGGCCTCGTTCCCTCTCTCTGCCTGTGTGTGTGTGTATATGTGTGTATGTGTATATATATCTCTCTTCCTCAGGTCGCTCGTCCCTGTCCGGTTCCCGCAGCCCTCCGTATCTGCCTCTCTGTCGCTCCTCTCGTCCCTCCTTTCCTTCGCCCCCGGTCGTTCCCATCTCCCAACGCGCGCGCCAATACATCCGTGCCCCGGCACCGCTCGCCCCCGTGTGTTGGAACCGTGCACGTACACGCGCACGTACACATAGCGGCTCTCTGGTCGCGTCCACGGATAACGTCCTCGATACGGCGGCCAGCGCCGAGCGCACGACATCGAGGCGTCCCGAAAAGCGCTATCTCGCGGCACCCCGCTCGAAGCCGACCAATCAGCGCTTCGATCCACGCTTTCGACCGTCGCGCTTTGATCATGTACCCTGCGACTGATACCCACGAGCATCGTCTCGGCGTAAATCACGTCCTCTCTCCGTCCACTTCCGTGAACGTAGATCGAAAGGGGAATTATCGATACCGTGCGCGTCGCGGAATTAAGGGATTTTTGTCCTTTCAGATTTAGATTGTCGCAATCTCTCTCTCTCCTCTCTCTCCTCTCTCTCTGCCGACGTAACGTTTTTTAAGATAGTTCAATCCCCGGCGGCACAAGGACGTTTTCCATGGATTTTCTGCCATGTCTCTCATTTTCCTTTTCGATGACCAATTGCACGACGACGTACAAACGTTGTCGTTTGCGCGCTAATTGATTAAACCCAAGCATACGCACGTTGAACCTCGTAATATTGTGAAAATCGGAATATGATGAACCTGATGAGAAGAAAAAAAAAAAAAGGGGCACTTTATTGGAGAATAAAGTCGTTCATTTTCTCTTTTTCTTTTTTTTTTCTGACCAATTGATATTTAAAAGGTTAATTTGACGTCACTGAGCAACGAACACACAAAATTCCGGCTTGATCGGAAATTGATTAACGAGTTATACCGGGGAATTATCGAATTATCGATCGTTAATAATTCGCGAAAGTTACGCCTTGAAACTTCACCGGTGTGTATTTTATATATTGTATCGATCGTAGTTGTAGTCCAACTAAATCGCGACCCTCGTAAAAAGATTATGGCGCTGACACATCGTTCTATCCGCTTTAAATCGTTCTGCCGCTCGGAAAAATCTTCGAGCCTTCTTCGCAGCAAATCAAGTTTACTCTCGAGAAAGTGTGTTGTATGCGAAGTTTCTGAAACGCGCGTGATCCTGTACACAACAAAAATAAGGAATTTCCTCTTATGTATCTCTTACAATTAAAGAATCGTCCCCAAACACGCGCAAATATGTGACAAAAACGTAAAAACTTATCGTTTCCAGTTTTAATTAAACAGTGCACGATCTTTCAAATAATTTGGCACTTCAACATCTTCCCAGCACAGGGATGTTTGATGTGAGAAATTATTATTTATTAAAACTATCATTGTACAAGTTTTTACAAATAATCGTACAATTTTAATTTAACTATTGTAATTTGATTAATATGCACTGTAGCAATCGATTTCAGATTTTCGTTTTTCGCAACTGTTTAAACGATACGAGCATTTCTGTCGAAATCTGTTTGGACGTAATCGTATAAATCTATTTACATTAATTAATCGTTAAAATTATAATGATTTATATGTGGAATGCGATTGCTTTAGCGTTAACAGACATTCTCGTTAATTTATGTGACAATCAAGATCCGGTATATTTGTACGAAGGTGTTGAAACGTATAAGCGTGATATCGTAAGAACAAAAAGGTCCGAAAATCTCGAGTACCTCAGATTCTACGAGGACAATACACCACGCGTCGAATAATTCGCGTAATGCACGAGCGTGAGCGATATTTAAGCGAGAGACGAACCAGTTCGACCAGGCAGTAAATTATCTCGGGCGACGTAAGCTCGTGGTTGAGAGACACTGAGCGCAGCTGCCGCGGCGCGGCGGCGGTATCTCCGCGTTGTCTGCTACCTCACACCCTCGTCTTGCGTCCCACGTGGGTGCCGGTCGAAGGGGTCGCGCGGAATGATGGTGACGCGCGGGGGCAAGCGAGGGACGGCCGGGGAGGGGGCGGGCAACGCCAATGGGCGAGGAAGCGGGGGACCGAGGGCGCGTTCGAGGGATGGCGGCAGAGAGGCAGGGGTGGATGGTCGGGTGAGGTTAGGTCGGGTGGACAGAGGGGGCGGAAGTGGGTGAAGGGATCGAGGGATAGCCGCACCACCCACTGACCATCTCTCTGCCCTACCCCTGGCCCAGGCTACGCGCTCGCAAAAAAGACTGCCTTCTCTCCCGCTTCCAAGACACGGGAAAGGGCGAGGCGCGACCCCTTCGGCTTCGATTTCGGAATCGACGGCCCGGAACCTTCCTAAATTTGGTGCAAATCGCAGCAGCTCCCGACAATCGCTCGTTGAGAATCTCGAGAATTTCGTTTTTTGTCACTTTGTTGTTTATTTTACGGGGTGAATCGCGCAAACAGATGTTCGCAATTCACCCCGCAAGTGAAACGGTAATTTGGAAAAAAAAATTCGCATCGTTGTGTTCCGTAACAACGTAATTGGCTCTTTCTGTTTTTCTTTTAATTTCTGTCTCTCTTCCTCTCTATCCCTCTCTCCTCGTCATTTTATGAACGGTGGTCGCTTCCGTTATACGGTACAATATACCATTCTACGCATAGATCATAATACAGTCACGTAGGTCAGGGACCGAGAATACGCACGAGTTGCCACGTGCTCGGCACCGTATTTGAATGCGCCTACTCTTCTTGTGTGGAGACGATTAGTAGTTGTGTGTGGGATGTATTTACTCTTTAGTATTATTATTATTACTTCTGCGTTTCCACGTGAGGCTAACGGTAAGCGGCGTTACGTAATCTATCGACAGTCGGTAAAATAAATTCAGACAAATTCAGGTAGTTGACAAATTCTGTCTTATCGACCGTTGCAACGTAACTCACTGTATTATCTCGTTACGAGAAAGTTGATTTAAAGTCCAATGCAACAAGTGTTTTGCTTATTGAATTACAAATGCGTTTCCCTCTATTTGTGACATCACATTTACAATATTATTTCTGTTTACAGCCGAAACAGCTAGGATCACCGACATGGGTACAAAAGTTTCGAAAGGGCAACTGCTTCGAGTGCGCGACATTTCTCGCCAGCTTGCTACTAGGCCAAGGATACAATGCGTTCGTAATAAGCGGTTACGCGTCGAGGGAGCAAACGTTGTGCGATTTGACGCGAAAATCGTGCCCCTGTGTGCCGCGACCGGACAAACAAGCGGAACGAGAGCCGAAAGCGGAACAACCTGAAATCACCAAGTACAAGTTTAAGCTCATGACAGAGTATAATAGTCAATTTTTGTTAAAATTGGAAGAAGAGGAGGCGAGGAAGTTGGAGGAGAAATTACTCTCGGACGAAAAGGAACAACAAAAATTGATCGAAGTATCACAATCGATTTCCTACTTTTTTTTTTTTAATTCTCCCCTGATTGTGAGAAAAAATTACGTTTGGATTTAGGAACTGGAGCAGCTTCCACCGGATGAGTATTGGGGACACAGAATACACGGCTGGGTAGCGATATTGCCAGAGCTAGATGGACCAAGGGACCAGGAGATTCCTTGTCCACTTTTCATCGAGCCTACCACTGGCGTGTCTTACGGAGCCGCAGACGATGACACGGCCCAGTTGTATTTGGGCGTGGAAAGTATATGGAATGACAAGAATTATTGGGTAAACATGCAGTCATCCGCAGGATCGTGCGCGAATATAGCGTGGGATTTAACGAAAGTGGAGCTGTGGGAACACTTACTACCCGGTGAATCATGGACAATGCACGAAGCGGAAGAGGTCGACGAGGAATCTGGCGTGGAACACGAGAAACACCTGGACATGCCAGCTTCATACGTAGATCAAATAAATATTAGCGAAGCAGGTATATGAAAAATGTTGAGTCAAGCATTGGAATGTAAGTGTGTCGATACATTGACAGTCTCGCTTATTAGAATTTGAGAAACGGTTCCCAAATGGTACGAAAACGACATTTTATAAAAGGACGAAGGTTGAACGCTACGCGCCGTATCTTCAGCCGAACGGCTTGGTGCAAAAAATCACCATATACGACGATTACGATTACACGAGTCCCATTGAGGTGTACGAGAATTATGCGAATAGATCCGACAATCTGGTGAAATCGCGAAAAGATCTAAATAACGATACAGTTGTGGATTACTATGCAAGAGGCCGAGCAGATCAATGCAAAGGTGGTAGTTTATTACCGTCATTGTGCCTTGATATGCTTAGGATTGATTCTCCTTGATGAAAAATGAAATTGCAGAGCATCGATACTTTGTCAGTGCTCCTCATTTGTCAGTGGATAGCGAGCGAATTTTAGATTTCTATCACGTTGCGCGCTTCGATGGTCTATCTAAATTCGAAATGCATCCGAATTACTTGACGCAACACTTCGTCGACCGCGATGATTTCCTGTATTATCGGTAAGCGGTAATTCGTAATTTTGTAGTTAAATTGTAAACGATTAAAAATGATTACACGATATTACAACCAGTGTTTCGATCGACTTGAGTACAGGCACGTACAATTTTCGCGAGAACGAAAGAGCTCCGCTCCGCACGATATTCATTATCGACACATATCGGTAAAGTAGAATTTGATAATTGTAATTTTTGAAACGTCGCGCGAAAATCGATTAATTTAAGGTATTCTAATTTTGCAGAATATCGTCGAGAAATTTAATAGAGACGAACGGATAAAAGCAAGTAAAAACATAGCAATTCGTGAATTTGCTATTGACGAGAACGAAATACGTCTTACGTATCACTATCATCCAGGGCAATTTACAAGAGTTCTGCGAACATACATAAAGCCACCGTTAGCAGAAAGGGGTGAACGATTGGTTCTTAATGTATCCACGATGCAGGGGTATACTGTGAGTGTTCATCACTGTATTAGAAAATTAGAAGACTATATTGTTCTATTTGCAGCCTCTAGAGGAATCTGAAAAGTCTCTTCATTTATTATACGAGCTAGAGACACAACTAAAGGAGGAAGATGTATCTGTATCTCAAGTTAGAGCAGCAGAAAAGGAAATGTACGCATTTCTCGAGACAAGAAACAAAGAATACTTATTGCCAACACTATCAATATCCATATATGATAAACTCAGAGAGCCAGAATTTCTGACGGAAGCGTTGATGGTATGAAAATAATAACGATGCACTTTTTTAATCTAAATAATTAATATATGTTTTGATAATTGATGTATTATTAAATACAGAAAACAAACGGTCAGGAAGATATCACGGAAGATGTAGATTATTTAAAACCGTATCTGGCTCGTTTAGGCAATCCATCGGAACTATCAAATATTGACGCATATTTTGTACAATATACGTGTCTCAATGATTACAAACAGTTACTTGTACAGAGAGCGAATAAGATCTTGCGTGAGTTTGATAGATATTCGCAAGAATTGATAAAAACGCAAGCGTTACTAACACAGGTCAATAAATTTCCATCAAAATGTGTTATTTTGTACATTTATTTGATACAAAATGCAATATAGAAAATCATGTATTTTTTTTCGTCTTTTATAGGATGGAGATGTAACCCGCGAAGAAGAAGAAAACCTATTAGAGAAAATAAATGAAATAAACTTTCACTTACAAATGTTGGAAACCAGATTAAATCGGCATAGAGACTTAGTTCCTATAAGATACGAAATGTTGATGGACCACTTACAACAAAGTCCGCATCTCGCGATACTTAGAGATGACTCTAAGTGAAACAACGTTAAAGGTGATACTTCACTGAAAGGACCAAGAGCCCATTTGTCCAATACATCGGCCTGAAACAGCTTTGTATTAAAAAAGAAAAATCTTCAGTCTTCAACGAAAAGTTTGCACGTTTACCTTCGTCGTCAAAAGTGGCCAACGTAAATTTACTAAGTTTGTTAGTAAAACTTCCGGTACTGGAACCTATCGTATGATCCGTTAAACGATCAGTGTTCGTCACATCGCCGTTAGTTCCGTGACGACGATGATCCTCGGCAAAGCCAGAAATCAACGTGTCCATCATTATTGCCTTAAAACGAATTCACACGATTAAAACTGTTCAAAATTAACATGAATCAAGCGCAGATCGTACTTGTCTTGAGAATACTTGTAGAATTTTATAAACTCGTGCCCCGTTCTCTCGCACAGGGAACTGTAGAAACAAACACGGCAGACAATCCAAATTACCTTCGTCGGAAGGTTTCGCCATTTCCCAGCTCAGCTCAGAATACCTTAGACCCAATAACAAACTCTGTAGAAAAGTTATTTTTAACGTGGTACTCCGGCAATTATCGATCATTGTGCGATATTTGATTGCTTACGCATTGGACGTCGTCCACGATATATACACCTGACGAATTAATAGCAATGAGTACGTGCATGTCACGGTTTGTGATCCACGATGCGAGCCCTCTCACGGGACGTTCGATTTGACCTTGAAAGAAAGCCGCTCCGTAACACGGCAAACTCCAACAAAACTCTAAATACTTTCTGACAAGCTTTCGCGAGTTCGTGTTAGTTCCCGTGTGATTTGGTATCCGTTTGTATTGCTCGAGCAGACGAGCCTCTGGTGCTCCTTTTCCCCCTACCAGTCCCAATCCGACACCAAGCCCCAATAACAAACTAGGAGAAGTGTAATGATGAGGCAAGAATCGGCCACGATGCTTCCTGAAAAATGCCAGTGTGTGACTTTGAGGATTGTACGGGCCGAGTTCAATGCGTGCTTGCAACGCTCCCAGACTTGCATATCGTGCCTGTCCCTCACACGGATAACGCCCTGGAACATCAACGGATGTGTTACACGCAGCATACGAAAAGATTGAAATGATTAATTACCTTGCAGCACGTTGTTTCTGGCTTCTGCATACAATAATTCCAACACTTTAGCTTCTTTTATTTGCTCCTCATCCGATCGGGAAAGAAATACATTTCTTCTAAGGCATAGCAAAGGCTCCTCATCTGTCTCTTCCCTCTGAGAACTGTATTTTTTCACTAAGCGATTCCACTTTGCAGCCAGCTCTAAAGGCTTATGATTCGGATGCAATTGAACCTCCAATCTTGAAGAGCAAAGCCACAGGGCGAAAACCGTTTGGCCAGTGAATAAAGGGGTTCTTGTCAATCCCAATTCTCCTTCGGATTGTATCATTGCAAGAATTTGATGCGCGGTAGAACTGTGTTCAATGTCCATTGTTAAAAAGATTCCAGTCATTAAATACACAGCTATTCTTACGGTAGACCTCCCCATGTTTAGATATTGGGATTGGTTCACTATCATTGCTAAAACGAAAAAAATAATTGTAATAATAAAGAAAATATACATAGAATCAAATGTTTATATGAGAACGTTATTGCTTACAAGTCGAAGTATGTCCATCAGATTTGTAGTCATTTTGATAATGACGAATATGTTGTCCTCGCCTAATTGCACAGTCTTCTTGAGTTTCCATGCTTTTTAATTTCCAACTAATTGAAGTTTGGAACTATATCTTTATTTGGATTTTTTAATTTCATTTCTTAATATTAACATTGACCTGATGTTCTCCTGTATATTTCTATGTCATTTCTCCAGGAGGGTTATTCAATGAACTACAAAGGAGTAAATTACTAATATGTGAACGGAGATAATATTAAGGAAGTTTTTTTTTGTAATAAATAACTTTTTTCTTTGCACCGAACAAATAAAACTGCATGGTAGATTTCAATTAATTTTTGCAAGATTTTCAACCAAAATACTGCTCTGCTGCCATCTGAACTAGGGAACTAGTTATTGATTACTTCTCCTTTTCAGGAATAAACCCTCTTGGCATTACGCGTAATTTATTTATAAATTAAGGAAGGAAAAAGATATATACAATTAAGCCAAAATGTGTCTCCTATACATTTTATATTATCTATTACAACAAACGTACAAAGTAATATTAATTTTATATTTGCATCAGAGTTTGTTTTATAAAATTATGTAACTTTTCGTTATTTATAATTACATATTTTCGTAATATATTGAAAAATTAAATGTCTAGGTGAAAAAAATCAAAATTTCTTCTATACTAGAAAACTTAAGACACAAAGTTTTCGAACAGTTGTCTTCAACTAAGGAAATAGAAACTGTTTCTCTTTTATAAATTTTTAAGATCTAAGAATTATATTAAGTCTGCTACATTCATCGGCATCTCATCAATTTGCGTCGAATAATATTGTTCAATATCTCGAAGAATTCTTATGTCGTCGGTTTTTACAAAATTAATGGAAACACCTTTTCTTCCGAATCTTCCCGATCGTCCTATTCTGTGAATGTACAATTCACGATTATTGGGCAAATCATAGTTGATCACGAGAGATACTTGCTGAACGTCTATTCCTCTTGCCCATACATCAGTTGTAATTAAAACACGACTGTAAAATAATAAAAAATAACCAAAATTAACAAGTTTCATTTGTAACGTTACAATAAAACAACATACCTTTGACCAGATCGAAATTCTTTCATGATGTTATCTCTTTCTTTCTGTGGCATGTCACCATGCATAGAGCAAACTGTGAAATTCGCCTCTCTCATCTTCTCAGTTAACCAATCTACTTTACGCTTGGTATTGCAAAAGATAACTGCTTGTGTTATTGTCAGTGTATCATACAAATCACACAGTGTGTCAAATTTCCATTCTTCTCTTTCAACAGCAACGAAGAACTGTTTTATTCCTTCTAATGTCAATTCATCACTGTAAATAATAACGTGTTAGCTTGGATGAAACAAACAATTTTCCTTGATCTCGAGGAAATTGAGTTTACCGTTTTACAAGAATACGAATAGGGTCCGTCATAAATTTGCTAGTCATTTCGAGGATCTCATGTGGCAATGTTGCAGATACTAACACAACCTGTGTTGCGGGTGGCAAATATCTATATACATCGTAAATTTGTTCCTTGAAGCCCTTGTTTAACATTTCATCAGACTCGTCAAGGACTAACATTTTTATAGCTCTTGTTCTAAGAACTCTCCTCTTTATCATATCTAAACATTGAAAAGATAACAAAATTTACTAGTAATATTTTGCATAATATTCTTTTATGATCAAATTACCAAATACTCTTCCAGGTGTGCCCGACACAACATGCTGTCCGTAATCCAACTTTCTGATATCTTCCCCAAGATTTGTGCCACCTATACAAGCGTGACATTGAACGTTCATAAAATCACCCAAAGCCAAAATAACCTTCTGTATTTGAGTTGCCAATTCTCTCGTGGGTGATAAAACCAGCACTTGTGTCTCTCTGACTTGCGTATCCAACGATTGCAGTATAGCAATGGAAAATGTTGCTGTCTTGCCTGTACCAGATTGTGCTTGTGCTATCACATCCCGACCTTTCATTATAGGTTTGATAGATCGCTGCTGAATCGCGGACGGCTTTTCGAAACCTAGTTTTAAAGTATTGTGTCACAGTTAATATCGAACCAGTGTGCAATTCAATGTAATGCGAACATATACACATGACAACATAGTAACAAATCAGGTTATGTTCAAGTAACACAAAGAAATAAGAGTTTGAGGGCTACCGTAAGCGTAAATTCCGCGCAACAACTCATCCCTGAGCCCCATGTTGTCGAAAGTTGGAATAACTTCCACATCCTCGCTTGTTTCGAACTCGACGTTTGATAAATCTTCTGTTTGCGCGACGCGACGTGACTTCACCTCCGCCATTTTCACGATTTGTATGCAAGGCTATCTGACACGAAGATGGCAAAATGGTTTGAAGTCAAAGAGCAGCCAAGTCGAATCCTTGCAATAAATCACTAAAAATAAATAAACAAATTATATTTATTTTTTATTTAATTAAAATTTTATTTATTTTTCTTTTTACATAGCAATATGCAGCATTGTACAAATAAGCAACTTTCAACGAATTTTCGATCATAAGTAAATACAACTTACGTGTAGTCACTAAATTTACCATCAGCGCCGCGACCATCAGCGACCATCGCAGAATGTTACTAGTCTTGTTGTTGCATGGATTTTTTTTTCTTTTTGTAAACACGAGAAGAGTGTGGAGTTATAAGCATGTAAAAATATTTCAATATTTTTCTTCAATTTTATCGCACAGAGTAATGTGTTTTTGAATCAAAAAGTGATATTTGAACTCTGCTTAAGAAGAGGTTACGATGAATATTAACGTAGCGTTGGACGAACATTTGACAAGTAACAGTTGCGTGAAACTTGTGATCGAGCTTTTGAAATACATTTTATATCAGAAACAGCAAATACCCTTCACGTGCGATTCACTGTCTCAACTGAAAATGAAACCGACTGACAGGAATTTGTCTTCCATAAGAACGTTGTTAAGCTCGTTGAAAAGCACCTCGGAACAGTTAAACTCGCAATTTCATCAGAAACACTGCAAAATCAAAGAAATCGCAATACTTATCGGCGCAACAATAATATCACCGAAATTGCACATTAGAATTGAATTTCCATCCGATATTCTCAATAGCCAGGAGCACTTTGAATGCAAACACGCTTCCAGAAAACCCTTGTTAAGTTTAATGAGGTTAGCAATAAAATTTGATAACACTCATGAAGAATAATACTTGTCGTTTCTTACTAATAGTATCATTTGATTTGTAGGTCAATATTGGAATGTCCTGAGTTTCAAGCTGCATTGTCATTGCCACTGAGCCCTACGAACACCTTTGTGCTGATACAAAAGAGTGATGATAATTTGGTATCAGAGTTCTTTTTGCCTAAACCTCAGTATATACCTTCCAATCAGAGTTCCAATTATTTTGTAATTAAATTGCAACACAATGATCAAGTAAGACTGAATTGCAATTGCATGAACTTAGTGAAAGTTTATAACGAAGTATCCGAATCTGATACCACTAGGAGCAAGGATACTGAATTTTTAAATAAGTCAAATGTGAGTATCGTGCATGTTCCTTATCAGTGGTATCAATCTAGAGAAGTGATCAGAGGATTCAAATTTTTAAGATGACCATAGAATTTGTTACTAAGACTATAGCAAATTTTTAATTGGCCTTCAGTATTAGATCAATTTTTATACGGACACTGTGTATGTTAATCATGATATTGAAAACATATAGGTAACTACAAAAGTATTGTATAGGTTGTAGTTTTTAAAATCTTTTATAACAACTTGTTAATATTGTAGGATATATATTGATTTACATATTGAAATCATATTGATTATAAATAAAATTATTACTGAACCGTCAAACAATTACATATTTTTTTATCATTTTATTGTCATCTATTTTACATACAAACTTACATACTGATATATGTAAAATTTCTACGAAATAAACGTTTCATTTTATAGCATTGCGTTGAGAACTATTCGTCTTTTAATTCGTAAATTCGAATTTTTAAAATTCGAAAGTCGTTACTCGTAATTATTCTGAAAAGCAATACTACCAGTCCGCCTGCCCAACTGCATATCATTAGAACTAAAGGAACCTTGAGAATGTTTGTTACAATATTTGAATATTTCTTGTATTGTCAAAAACAACAAAAAAAAAGGTGAATATTTACACCTGAATATTACCTGCAGGTATGAAGTTATATTACACAGATAATCAAGATCGCGTATATAAAAGTGATGTATTTTCATGCATATCTTTATAATCTCGCAGTCACTGTAAACAAGCTACTTGTAAGAATCGTGAATTCAAAATAAAATTTAACATTGATACCTTACATCCACAACTTTTTTGCATATATTGTACATTTCGGAAGTAATGTTTCTCATGTTTTTGCTAAATGCTTTATATCCTTGTTGGAAATTGTAATCCGTATACATAGATATAATTGTAAATGCAAAGTTAAAGTACATTGCAGGAAATACAATTCTCCAAGGATCTGGATATCTGTATATACAAATATCTATGTACATATAAATATAATTATTTAAATTAATATTCCAATAATAAAAGAAACATAATTGACTTGCATTGATGCATCATCATGTCCACCTTTACCACAGATAAAGAACAGAATGAACCAAACAATTCCAAACGTGCAAGATGAGAAGCACATTATTAAATAAACGCGACATATATTTTCGTGCTGACAATCAATAAAAATATACTTCCACCAGTCTGAACTGTTGCATACGTCGTCAATATTTTCCAATTCTAATTCTTCTCTTAGTAGAACAACTTTTGCCCACAGTGGGCAATTGCCTCCGAAGATCTGTTTCTTTATGTTTTATATAATACATTAAATTTACGTAAAACATCAGTAAGAATCATTATTAATTATACCCATAACATGTAGAATAAAACGCTCGACGCGTATCCGCTAATTGCGCCTAGCAAATAGAGGAACATTTGCACGTATTTCCATAGGCAAGAGATCTCCATCGCATCGCGTACGATAACCTTCTGATATTCTTCTAAAAGTTTCATCGAGTCTTTCGACGTAGGAACGAAACATACGGACAATTAAATTCACAATTCATACCCTTCGCCGTACCGGTGAATCAGTGCGATTGCGCGTCAAACTTCATTCGTATTAAAAAACGTAGATCTGATTGGTCAATCAGGGGCAAACAAAATTCAAACGTCAACGAAATAAACAAATTTCAGGAATTTCGGAAGATCGCTTTACGGTGTACAATATAAATCTTACGCTGCGTGTAAATAGCTCCAGTTGAGTGGACATAGGCGGCGTTGCACCGTAGCAAGAATCAATCGACGCGTTTTTAATATTCATTGAAAATGATGTCCAAGCTGGATTCCGTGAGTATCGAGTATGGTAGATTCGACGTAACTCCGTAGTTTGAAGGAAGTGTTGCAGATTGATCGTGGGAGTTGGACCAAGGAACAGAGGAACGCGCGGACCGCGGACCGCCACAGTGTTGTTCGACGAGAAAGATACACGAAGGCGAGAAATTCTTGTTTTTTTTTTTTTTTACATCCGAACATCGAAAATCACGAGGAAAACGATGGTAGATGCACGTTCCAAAGGGTCATCGAACGTATAAGCTCAATTGCCGCGGACACGTAAACCATTCGTGGGTGAAGTGAAACACATGTGTCGGTCAAACTGTGTTTTCCACAGCAGAGTGCCCGTCCCGTGTTTGACCCGTGAAAATCGTCCGTTCAGAGAGCCAACTTGTACGCCAGTCGCAGAAATTTCCAAGATATCAACGTGTTTGGCCGTGAATAAGCCCGTTAATGCGACGAGTTGCTTATTCGACATGAAGTAGAACTGATTGCAAAAGGCGGCAGTGCGTGGGTGGGTGGGTGTCTGAGCGATTGCCACTCATGTACAGAAAATTCCTTTCGGAATTTGTCAGAAAATGTGGCTGGCCCATCAACGATAGTGTGCTTTCTCGCTCGATATCACCCGTTCGATCGGTGTATCGTTAATTGGCATATTGTCTGGACAAATGTTCCTGGCCACAGGAAAAAAATATTTCAGTTAAATTACAGAGCGACACCGCTCTTACTGTCAATCTTTGGCCCAATGTCAATTTGACAGTATCGAAGAAATAAGATCAATATGATCCTCTCCTTTTATTGTTACCAACTCTGTTGAGTCTGAGAGGAATCTACACATTCTGTTACTATCAACACTGTCGTTCGATACTTTTGTGTAACCAAGTTATCTTTTGGTTCCTTGCCAAGTGTTCCTTTTTCTTTTTGTTTTGTTTTCTTCCCCTCTCCTCTTTCCTCCTATATGAAAGATGCTTTCCTTAAACTGCGAAACAAGAATACTTTAACAGGAACACTCATTCGAAATTGTTACTCATAGTTTTAAGAGAAGGACCTGTTCAAGGCCGTGCCTCTCTCATCAAACTGATATTAAGAGGCTGAAGCATGAAAGGTCAAGCGGAGAAAAATGGATATCGATAAAGTATCAGCATGCGTGAGAAGTCAGCAGAATGTCATGCTCACGCAGGTCACGTGAGGGGCACAACAGAAATGTGCTCACGTGATCCTTCTACGTTGCACTCAACCCTTACCAAGGCAAATGGTAAAAATTCAAACCCACAGCCAACGCATCATTCATCTGAAACACGCATTGATAACAACATACTTCCAACGCCTGGCGGACGTTTAAAGTTTTTTAAAGATGGCAAATTTATCTTGGAACTGTCCCATCGCAGAGATGGAGAAAGAACTACATGGTTTCCAGTTCCAAAGAAAACATTTTGGCCACCAGCCAGCACAACTCCGAATCGACAAGAGAGTTCCACCTCTCTCAGTGGTAAATTCAATGCAATACAGTAATCTTTTATAAGATTTAATAAATTCTAACATTTACAGTTTCAGATGATAATTCATCGGTTCAATCAAGTCCTTGGCAAAGAGATCACTGTTGGAAACAAGCGAATCCAAGACATAGAATATCCACGGAGTTTAATTTTTACTATCATAGAAGTCCAAAAAATCGTCTGTGCGCACATCCTCGCTTAGTCGCAAGAAAACGCAGACGTCCGTTAGATCCTACTTCTCTGTTACTCGTTTCAGAATCAGTAACGAATTACACGAAGCCAATTCGTAAAGCAAATGGCACATCAACGGGAAAAGTTTTGAACCTAATTATCGACAAATTGGCACGTCTTCTAGATCCTAATGTCGTCTCTCCACGCAAACGTATTTTGCGTGAGCTAGAAAGAGTGTCGTTAGAAGATCAAGCATCGAAAAGACGCGCGACACCACAGCCTGTTTGTACAACAACAGCTCCTACATCATCACCAAAACAATTATCTTCATATAGTATAACGAGTATCCTAGGAGAAGATAAACCAACTCACGAGCAAGGGTTTTTGAGGAATTTATTGAAACCAGATGACAGGCAAACTGCAAAATACTCATCAAGCAATTCGTACCCAAGAGTACGAATGGATCCATACATTGGTACAACTAATGCACCTCTTCAACATCCACTTTATGGCGTACCAATGTTACCTCCTGGACCATACAGAGCTCCTTTATGGATGCATTATCCATCGCCCGTCCATTACCCACCTCCTATGCCATTGTATGCACCACCACCACCTCATCCACCATCTCCTCCAATTCATCACTACAAAGACTACAGGGAACAGACTTTAACGCCTCCTTCGGGTAAATTCTTAAAAATTTATTGCTTAATATCTGTTAAATCGAAACTCATGTGTTGCAAACGAAACTCATTTTATTCACATCTCCTCCTAGATATGCCTCTAAATCTGTCGAAGCATGCGGGTTGAATCTCAGGATCCTAAAAGTTGGTGCCTTATATCATCGGTGGGATGAACCTGCGGAAACACTGCCCGTGTAACGCAATATATTAGTATTTTTTTATTCGTAAACAGTAGTATAGTAAGTAGAAATACGCAACTGGAAAGACGAAGTCTGGATGCTATTCTTGTACATAAAAGTGCATAAACTGTCGAAGTTGGTATATATAGGTATTTTATATTAATGTTAAATTAAATCATGAGTAGTATTATACAATTGTAATTAAAATTATGTACGTGATATAAATGATCTTATCACCTAATGTGCTCATTACTTTCTCATTTTGATTAATTATTGCTAAGAAATATTTTGTCGTCGTCTTGGAATCCATAAATGTGTTCACACTGTAAGATTGTAAAATTTGATTTTCATTCATTATTTTTACTACTCATGATACAAATATTACGATGAAAGGAAGAGCATGCTCTCATCTTACGCATCTCACTTATACATTATCTTGTTATTCTTATTAATGTTACTGTCATTATTATCATTAATAAATGATATGACTATTCATTTAAAAAAAAAATCACATGAAAGACATAGAATTATGTACAGAACAGATTACTATATTTAGTATAAATATTCCTATGAATATTATATATATATATTATTATACATACATATATGTATATATATTATATATATATAATAAATTTAGGTTAATAGCACACGCAACAGTATACATTTATTTATATAATATTAACGACAAAATTGCTTAGTATAGACCGTGGGGTGTGCCTTAAATGATTACCTAAATTGCAAAAAAAACTAAATTATAAACACATTCATGAATATGTATTATTATTATTACTATTACTATTGTGTATATATAAATATAATTTTGCGTTATGTATTTGCATCAAATCGATTATTCGTCACTATTTATTGTTAGTCGAACACATTACCAAACGTTTTACGCGAAAGGCAAGCTCGCACAGGCTCTACAAACTAGTGAGTAATATCTAATTATTCATTTACATACAATTTTTTTATTAATTGAAACATGAAAAATATGTGACTGCGCGTAAGCAACTGTATAGAAAGACTAATTTCGTAAATATATAAATATTTCACATACTACATCGAGAGATTTCTTATTTCTTGTCGACATCTGTTATCACATTCATTTTGGCGTTATTTATCCTGAATCACAGTAAACATATCAAAAATTCGACGTAGATATTTGTTTGCTTTCGAGAAAAGTAATTATTCCATTCAAACAAATTCTTCTCCAGTAACGAGTAATAGGGATATATGTACATGTCCCAAGAAAGAGATTTTAAATTTCGCGGGTACGCTGGAGCGTGCGCAAACCGACGCACTCTATCGTCCAGCTTTATCCCCCACTCTGGTTAGCAGCAACGCAGACGCTCTCGAGACCGCACAATCGTCAGGTCTTAGTAGTATCCGATTCGTGGCCTTGTTTTGTGGTATTCGTTGACCGGGTTATATCGTATCTGGTTACGTGTTTTTCTATCAAATATTCGTCGAAGCGGGATCCCGCGATCGAGCCAAGGCGAACGGACGATGCTCGGGAATCGCCGGCAGGCCCGTTAAGTGGTGTTTTTTGAATACACGCGGGTTTCGGGAGGCGAGCAAGTGAACCTAGTGTCCCCGGTAGAGGGGGAGAAGGCCGTATTTGTCCGATCGTATATGTAGCCCGCTCGACAAAATGAAAATGGCGGTGTTCCCGTACGAACGGAGCAACGGCCACTGACGATGGTCGTTACGGTACCGGACACGTGAGGCGAATCCAGTGTGTAGTACCTGCGTGTGTTCTTCTGCGGAATATCGTTTCGAGTGTTACCGCAGTACGTACACGGTACACGGTAGGCATCGGGGCATCGATGTCTGAATAAGAAATCGGAAGGAAGCCAGCGCGAGAAAACGATTTTTCCACGGATATTGCTGGGACAAACAAACATGATGGAATGACACCGCAGGGGAAGTGTAAACCCCTTGGATGAAAGTGGCCAGTGCTCCGGCTGTTCGATTCACGTAACTGCAGGACGAGTGAAGCCTTCATGCCGATGCCGGCCGAGTATCAGGATAGCCACGGTAACCACGAGAACGCTAATTTCGCTCTCGGGGCCACACAGGACGCCAGCAACATGACGGCCAATATGTACCGGGTGGGAGGTAAAGTAACACCGCGCACATTTTCTCGCCGGCTGACTGAGAGGGGTCTGCCACGCGATCCAACGCGATCGCCGATAAATCCCTCTTCCTCGACTTTCGGTTCAAAATTATTCGTTATCGGAAAATTAATTGTTTGCAAAATCGGGTAGATCGCGACATGGCGATTTTTCTCCCCCTCTGCCTCCCTCTGTCCTCTCCCCCTCCCCCCTCAGTCTCCCTTTCGGTCCCCCCCCGCGGTCCCTCTCTCTTCATTCCCCTTTCCGTTCTATCTTCGTTTCTATCTTTGTTTTGCCCGCGCAGCCCCTTAACTTTCCACCTTTCCATCCCAATGTCTCTACCACCCCGCTCTTTTCTGGCGTCCGTATGTAGGTACGTCTGCTTTCCTCCTTGCTCCCAACCCCCCTCCCCGTAGCCCTCCGCATTTTCCATCCCTCGCCCTTCGTTTTAGGTCTAACGCTAATTTCTCGATGATCTCGCGGATCGTTAAAAATTCAATATTTTCGGAGTGTGTCTATGTTTCTTGGTTTTTCTCTCTTTTATTTGCTCTATTATTTGGAAAAATTCTGTCGCGATAGATTTGTCAGAATGCATTTTTCGTCTGGGCGCCAATGGGTCCGGGGGGGAGGGGGGGACTAATGCAACTTCCACGAGATTATCTTCCTATTTTTTTCTCTTCCTGACGTTCGTTGCACAGTGTACTGCGAGGGTCCTGCAGGCTATATATTTCGGAAAACGTATGGAGAATTTCGGATTTCTGCGTATTTTATATTTGTTTCTTTCAACGAGCATTTTTTTTCCTTTTTTTTTTAATGCAAATTTTGCACCCTCGTTCGTGTAGGTCCAAACAATATAGCAAATATCAATATTTCTATTTCGCAGAAATAGAAAGTAAATGAATATATCTGACATTGAGATTTTATTTTTAACAGTTGCTCTCGCAGTCGTGAATATACCGATGCTTGTTATATAGGCAAATATTTATAAACGATAATTATTGATATGTTATATGTAAAATTTAATTAAGTGAATTTCTCTCTCTCTCTCTATATATATATATATATATATATATATATATATGTATATACTGCATATCTATTCGTATGTACATGTACATATACATTTTTACTATAATAGTCTTTTTTGATAAGAAGCTTTATTAAGTAGATTCTTTTTCTTTAATTTATAGATTATGTATATTTTGAAACATCCTCTACGTCTCCCTACCAGATAAGGAGGATAGAAGAATTAAATAAGGTAAGAAACGAAATTGCGATTGTATTTTTTTTTTCTATTGTAATTTATAAAGTTGATAGATAATTGTTTATGTCGTAGTATTTCGTTAATAGATATTTCGTATCATATATGTTGATAGCAATCTAAATATAAATACGCTGAATATATTCTACATTTGAAGAAATATATTTATGAAAAAATTTTTACTATTTTTAGACGGCCAGTGGAAATGTCGAAGCAAAAGTCATGTGCTTCTTTAGGCGGAGGGATTTGCCATCTACGTTAATCATGCTTGCAGATAAACACCAGTGTAAGTAAAATTCATGTTATTGCAAAAAGAAATGTTTATCATGTCGTATATATTGAAACGAAATTGATTTTTACTCAGAATTTTAGTGTATATATATATATACATGCATACTACATCTAACATTTTCTCATGTAGTCGATGTCATAATTATCAATCACCAGTGCTAAATTTGAAAGTGCAATTTACAAAAAGCGGTAGAGTTCGATAATTTTTTTTATTAATGTTTAGGTGATTGGATGAATACATAAGACTATATGTATCGAAGATAAGAGATTAATGTTATTTATTTTGCCTCGCGTCACATTGCAGATCGATAAGCATCCGCAAATGAGGAAAATTAAAATATTTCCCTAGTGCGACGACATTTCTAAAAATTGAAATCCTTTCTACGATATATATAATAATTTTTCATCAAATGTTCGATGGAATCACGCGCGCGTAATCAACGCGCACTAACGGTATGCATTTATTATGTTGGTTTAAAAATATCTCTCGTCGATTCGAAGTGACGAAAGATTGAAATCGTTCGTTCTACTGTCATTCCTGCCTTCAGACTGAAAACGCATGATCGAGACAAACGAAATGATCATTTTCTCCAGAAAGAAAAAAGAAAGCAATTCTATTTTACGCGACGTCGCCGCGAAAATCGAGAGAACCCAATCGGCGGAATGCGTCGTCGCCATCGCGCTGTTGCGATATATATATATCTCATATATATATATATATGAGAATTTGCAGACATGTTACATTTCAACACATATTTTTCCGCGCGAGAAAAATAATACGGTCCTCCGCGAGAGATGGTAAGGAAGAAAAACTTGTTCGATTCTCTCCGTGGATTTTAATACACGTACACGCGCGCGTGTACGTGTATGTGTCTCTGAAGCTTTCTCGATTTTTCCTTTGCAATAGCAAAGATAATGGGACGCGGGGATTTGGGGGTGGGAATGTATAATAAGTAAAGTTGGGGGGTGGCAGAGGGGTGAAATGGGGGTTGTATCGATCTGCCGGGGGTGGGTTGGGGGTGGTACGCCCGCCATCCCACCTCTCCCTCTTCTACCTCTCACCCAAGTCCCTCATACCACCCTCCCCTTGCCTCTCCCGCCACCCTGAACTAAATGAATGACTGACGCAGGGGTCGGTTGGGTATGTGTTGCGTGTACTCGGACACAGACTTGTAAGAACACCGATAGACGTACACGATAACCGGGCACATAGGCATGTACGAATAACGGGGCAGAGAGAAACAAGAACATACACGTACACGTATACATATACACACACGGAGAATGAATACATACGTAACGTTCGCGCGCAAACGAATGTATATGTGCCTGGGCGAAAATGGTGGGCCCCACTAGCCATCTTCGTTTTAAGCATTTACTCCCCCGCCTCTCTTTTCTTCCCTTCTCTTCTTTTCTACTATACGTACATATATATGTATGTACGTACGTGTGTATGTATACATATTTATATATATATATATATATATATATATATATATATATACATACTTTTATATATATATGTGTGTGTGTGTGTGTGAATGTACACTTTCTCGTGTCTCTTCCTCTTTGCCTGTGGCTCTATGTCCGTCTGCCGGTATTTGCTTCGAATCGGGTTCTCTCCCCTTTCTCTCTTATTCTCTCTGTCCCAGCCGTTTCTATACCCTCAAATTTCAGAAAAAAAAAAAAAAAAAAAATTGTGAGAACTTCGACCTGGGCAAAAGTCAGCACTGTTTCGTGCAAAATGGTACGAGATAGAGTATCGAGGGGAGCACGCGTTTTTCTCTTCACGATCATTCGGAGATCGTTTCGTTTCCATTTCCGGGTCTTAATGATCTTCGACAATGAGATCTTTTTAATTTTCCGTATGGAGCCGTTCGAGATCTCGATGTAAATTTGCCAAGTGTTTTTTTTTTCTCTTTGGTTTTTTAATGATGCTTGGATTTTTCATATCTTTTCTCCGTTGCTGTTTCCCCGATTTCGATTCAGGCGTTTTTATATGATTGTCTAACATTGATTAATAATCAGAGTAACGATGCAATATAGAGCAACATACCATTATTTTTGGAAAATGTTACTGCAGTCTATATGTTATATGATAAACTTCTGACTAAAGGTCTTTGACAATAATTTGCGACCCACACGATTAGAAATTGTAAATAGAAACGTGAGCGGAATTGGTTGAATCAAAGTTAGTTCTTTCTTTTTTTTTTTTTTTTTTTTTTTTTTTATGTATATATATATATATATATAAATGTAACGTCGTACGTAATCAGTAATTGTCAATGTTAGTCAAAAATGTAGGCAAATATTTGCAGTAGAGAAGAGAACCACTGGCCAATGACGCTGGAGGATGGCTGTGTCACACACCCTTGGTTGTTAAACTCTGTAAAATTGTAAAACTTTTTAAGAGCATGTGTTAAGAATTGTACTAAAGAAACGACAAACGCTGAAAAACGCATAGTAGAGTTGGGTTCTATGGTACAAATTGCAGTGGCAAACGCGGAGCAGCAGAGGTCAGAATCCCCTGCAAACATGCAGAGTCAGAAACTCGAGAATCCAGATACTACTAAGGAAATGACTAATAAAGATGGGATCGGGCCCAAAGTGATGAACAAAGGGGGCGGGAAGGGGGGCTGGCTGAAAGCTCCACTGTCAGAGGCCCAAGAGCCTCATGGTGAGTGAACTAGTCAATTAAAAGGTGCTCCTTACAGATGAATTTCATCCAAATTTTCTTATCATTTGTTAGATCGCAAAAAAAGTATTAAATAATTAATTTATGTTCCTTTCTTTTTTTTTCATGTTTTTTTTCTTTTTATTAAACCACGCGTGAACCTTCTTAAACTCGAATTCGTTAATCGATTCATCAGTAAGTATCGTGCAATTGCACCTTTTGATTGCCTTGTTAGTCTCATATAGAAGCCAGTGATGATAAAAGGCTAATGACCCAGCGGCGGGATTAATAAAATTCTTTGTAATCTTGGTGAATGGCATTAGTTTTGGCTAGATTCACTGTAAGGCCAAAGAGACAATAAATGGGTTTAATTGTGACGGCCTCTTCCTTCAAGCTATATGGAAAGAGGTCATTGAATCATTATATAACCCGTATATCAGCCACCATCATTTGATCATTTTTCCTATTTATTTATATTATTTTTTTATACATTCTATTTTTTTTTTCTTTTTTTAGACATTGCAACAAGCAATTTTTTTCTGACACATAAACTTTAAATTCATTCTCTCATCAAAATAATTTCAAACCCTTCGACCAAAAATCCCGCCGCTCAAAATGATAATTCTTTAGTAATCTGAGGCTTCTTCAAAACAATTCACAATTCCTTTGAAAGTTCATTTCATTTCAGTTATGGTAGATGTGTATCACTTAATGTTGCTTTCATTTTCTTTTTGTTGCCCGCTCTCGTTAATATTTTAATTTATTGTTGTAAGTTTTCATTGATTCTGCCACATTCCTGCGTTTCATTTACATTTTATTTGTCTATGTTATTCTTGAAAAAAAAAAATGAATAGATCTGATAAAAGACCAAATTTGCATGAATATAAATGTAGGGAATGTACTTATATTTCTCACGAAAAGAAATTTAATTGATGTAAAAGGTTGATACCGAAATATTTAACTAAAGGTACTAGCAATTTTGCTTTAAATGCTGAATTTTCATCCGTATTATATGATCAAAAAAAAAAAATTACGTGAATAATTTGTTTAAATGTATTGTAAATGCCTGTATTAATTTTTTTTAATTTTTGAGTAAAATATTCTGTTATTTAAGCTTCTCTAGAATATTTTATTTAAACATTAGAAGATATGAACGTTATCAAATAAAATCTAATTTTAATTCCTTTTACACACAGGGATGGAAGAAAATGTAGTTGGTGCTGGAGGAGTTACAGAATTAAGTAATAAACAACGTCATCAAATGAAACATAGAGAACTGTTCTTGTCACGTCAGGTGGAAACAATGCCCGCAACGCATATAAGAGGCAAATGCTGTGTGACTTTATTAAACGAAACAGAATCTTTACTAAGCTATTTAAACAAAGAAGATTCTTTCTTCTATTGCTTAGTATTTGATCCTGCTCAACGTACTTTGCTTGCTGATAAAGGTATTCGTTGTTGCTAAAAAAAATTTAAATACCAAACACTGTAACCTTTTTTTATATATGGAAAACATTAACAAATGTAAACCATTATAGGTGAAATTAGAGTAGGTAGTAGATATCAAGCTGATGGAATAGCACCAGTTCCACTGACACCTGCTGAAAGAGAGTCAGATCCTCGTAGGTTGCAAGATTTAGAAACATTGGTTTGGACACCACGGCATTCACTAACAGATCGTCAAATTGATCAATTTCTTGTTGTCAGTAGATCTGTAGGCACATTTGCAAGAGCCTTAGACTGTTCATCTTCGGTCAAACAGCCATCTTTGCACATGTCTGCAGCAGCTGCCTCTAGAGACATCACTCTTGTAAGTATTCATTGATCATTGTTACTGCTGTTTAAACTATGTAACCCTATGTTCTTTACGAGGAAAACATATACCTTACGCCAGTTGTATTTGTAGTTCCATGCTATGGATACTTTACATCGACACAATTATGACGTTGCGAAAGCTATGTCATCTTTAGTACCTAGCACTGGTCCAGTATTATGCAGAGACGAAATGGAAGAGTGGAGTGCATCTGAGGCGAACCTTTTTGAAGAAGCGCTTGATAAGTATGGAAAGGATTTCTCTGACATACGTCAAGACTTTGTAAGTGTGCAAGATAATTAAAGCTACGAGCTTTAACACTTTGCAGTGTTGTTATTTTAATAAGCAAGTTTGTTCATTCGTTTCAGTTACCATGGAAAACATTAAAAAATGTTATTGAATACTATTACATGTGGAAGACAACCGACAGATATGTACAGCAAAAGAGGGTGAAAGCTGTAGAAGCTGAAAGTAAATTGAAACAAGTTTATATACCAAATTATAACAAGACGGCTCCACCTACAACTGCCCCTTCTGCAGCAACGATTGTACCTCTTGGCAATAGTAATAGCAATAGCAATGGAAAACCAACTAATGTTCTCAACGGTAATAGCAACGGTAACATGACAACTGATAACAGCGGGATATTGATGGTTGGAGTTAGCGGAAAACCATGCGAGAGTTGTCAAGTAATACAAAGTCCACAATGGTATGCTTGGGGTCCATCTCATATGCAGTGCCGTCTTTGCCAATCTTGTTGGACATATTGGAAGAAATACGGCGGTTTGAAGGTATATTTCAATAAACATAAGTGTTTCGGGCAACGAAGATTTCGTGTGATGCACGAAAAAATAATCTGACGTTCTTTCTTATTTCCAGGTTCCGTCGCGTATAGATGATGTTGACATAGAAAGAAAAAGAGGTGGTACTGGCTCGGACGAAGAGAGCAAGGGAATTGGCGGTGCTCACAGACCTCATCGATGTAGTATTCCTACCTGTGGTAAAGAATTCAAGCTCAAAGCACATTTAAGTCGTCACTACGCGAGCGCTCACGGAGTCGATCTACGTGGAAGCGGAGCGAGCGGAGGTGGCGGAAATGGATCACCCAGACCTGTAATGAAAACTCGATCGGCGTTTTATTTACGTACTTCGGCATTGGCGCGAGCTGCACGACGATTGTGCGCAGCGCAATTACGTACGCGTCATGCGGCGCGAGCACCTCATCAACCTGTGAACGCAGCTCCGTTGCGACATCTTTGCGCGTCTCCTCAGTTGACGTCGAAAAGCTCTGCAGAGTTACGTATTTTAGCGCGTGCTGTGCGGCCTCGGCCTCGTCCGCGTGTAACCGATATAGCAACGCGTTTAGGTGATCATCCTGCTCCACGACAACCTGGAGACTGGGATTGGTTAGCTCTTACAGCACCAGCACAACGAAAACAACCAGATCGGGTTTCCTTCCCTAGACCACCAAAAGCACCAGGTACATAATTTTATTCTTACTTTATTTAAATTTTATTCTTATTACCGATACGATGCATTTAATTTTATTTTTTGATTTTTATCATTGTGTTACAGATGGAAGTCTTTTGTATGAAAGAGTACCAAATAAATCTGATGTAGATAGGCTGACGATAACTCCACCTCAACCACAACCTAGTATGCAGGTCCAACAAACAATATTGAAACGCACAAGACCTCCATTCGACGAGATCAACGGATCAGATGGTAAGTTTTAGATTCGCGTACCTATTCGTACGTATTATGCAATCTTAGATCCTAGTATTGAATGTGATCTTTGTTTACTGGCTTCTACTCTGATGTGGATTGGGATGAAGGTAAAATAATTGAGTGGCTAAGAGCTTAAGTATCCAACCAATAAAACAAATAATCAAAATTATTAAATTGAACAATTTAACATTTGTTCCAAAGGAATACGCATCATCGGTTTCATAGTTTTATATTATTTTGACATTTCAAGCGTTTCAAGTTTGGCTATTATATAAATGTAAGTACTTTTAATAGGTATTGCCCTAAGTGCAGGGCTGCCTGGTGGACCACCTGCAAAAAGGGCTCATCATTCTCAGCAGCTCCATCCGAAACATACTTTGGAGCACGCAGCACCTGCTGTTCTTCCCTTAGCACCACCCCTAAATGGAAGAGCTGCACATCCTCATACCTTGTCACATGGTGCACCATTATCCAGAAGTAATGCACGCAAGCAAGTAATTTCATGGATGGATGCACCGGATGACGTTTACTTTCGTGCTTCAGATCAAACTAAGTTAGCATTGTTACATTTTATAATACAATACCATTACACATCTTATAATACAACATTTAGCTATATGTTCACTGAATAAAAAATGAACAATGTATAAATATTGAAATACTTTTGGAAATTTGCAGAAGACTTAGAAGAACTCTTTCATCAGTCGAACTTCGAAGAGCAGCGCGCAAACCATGGCGTAAATTACCAGGTCCTCTGCATTCTAGCCATTCACAGAGAGCGGTACGCGGCGATGACATGGTGGTTATCCTGGACTGAATTATTAATACAATCAACCAGATAAACTGATAGATTCATCAATTCGTCAATAAAAAAAAAAATCATGCTGTTGTAATTTTAAAAAATCAGCACAGAATCAGTACAGTGAAGATAATCCAGCTTTATATATTGTCATTGGCAGCTCTAATGTTGAGCAAGGATCTAATCGCTGTTTGGAATTTTTTGATAATATTCGAGACAGCAATTCGCCGAAATTGAAGGCCTCGCTTGACTGAATTTGCATGTTGCATTGACATTGCTGTCATAACATACTTCACACGTATGGAGGAAAGACAACTATCTGTAACATACTTCACACGTATGGAGGAAAGACAACTATCTTGGAACGAACATTCATCGAATCTTTAAAGAAAAAAAACAAAAAAAAAAATAATGAAAATGTGAAATCAACTCATTTGTGAAACATGATTTTCTATTCATATTAATTAGTTATTGTTGTTATTAATAATAATTATTAATAATTGAATGTACATATACATCATACTATATTCATAATTCCATTAGAAACCACATAAGTGTCCAATAAGTGCTGGACACAAGTTCTACATTGGTTAAATTGGCCACGCGCATTAGCTCACGAAACAAGTGCGCGTAACAGAGACAAGTATGAGAGGAAAGGAGAGAAAGTGTGTGTGTGAGAAAGGATAAGCGTGTACGTAAGAAAGAAGGAAAGAATGCTCATTGTGAATATTTTTATTAAATTTTCAAGTTTGATGACTTCCGTCGCAATTAATAAATAAACATAAGCATAAGTGGAAGAATGTATTAGTCTTTTTCCCCTTCTATCCAGTCTCCTTTTACGACTACATATGAAATGCATCATAAAAAATATTCAATGATTATACAGATAAGAGCTCTCATTTTAATGATTTTTTAATGTGTTGTAGAAATCAATCACTATACATCTCTCTATTCCTTTTCTTTTTTATATGTATGTTAATATTTAAGACTTAAATTTAAACTTAAAGCAATATATATATATATATATGGAGTTTCAAATTAATGTTAAAAATTTATTACATAAACAAGGATGTACGAATATCTTTGAATAAGAGAAAAATAACCTATTGTTTGCAGCCTTCAACTTGAAGGTGATTGATTGATAGAGTTTGATGACTTCATTCAAAAGATAATTAAAGTATATATGAATGAATATTGCTGAGTTTCTTCTGTAACTTGGCGATTGAACAATGGAGTAAATAAATCAGATATATTCGATTTATACATATTCGGTAACGAAATGAGATAATAGGCATAAATAAAAAGCACAAACGTTCATGTGCTCGACTGCAGCTATCGGTTGCCATTGAATGTCACTGGTCGATCCTCAAGGACGAAAGTATACCGTTATATGTATTGTGGCCTCTAGTAATTACGTTTCTACCATGGGGCTCCTAATTCGCAAAAACACGGTTAAATCTGCTGTCTCGTTTCGTTCGACAGATTTTGAAATATTAGCGTTGTAAAGCAGCAGAATTAATCGCTATTACTATAGGCTTGTATTCCTCTTTGCAAGCCAACTTTACTTTGTTGTTTTTCTCCTTTGGACGCTACCACGAGCCTCGCTTTCTACAAAATATTAAACACATGTTAGAAAGATATAATTAACAAAATTTCATGTTAAATAATCCATTTTGACAAAATGATTATTCCTTAATGCTGTGTCATTTTATTTGAAATTTTTACTTTGTAAATAAATCGCTGGTAAATGACATAAAAAAAGTTTCTGAGGGCTAAAGATTAAACATATATAATAGTAGCTAGTCTACTACGTGATGGCAAAAAAAGTCCTGAAGAAGAAAAGTAGAGGGAGACCAAATTCAAATGGCTCGCAGAAGGGAAGAAATTCGACAGAATCATCGTAGACTGTAGACTGCAGCAATTATCGCTTTCTTCTCTGCGAAAGTGCCATCTAAGCGCATGTTACCTAATTAACGAATGAATAAATAATTTAATAAATACATATATTACAAAAATTAATAAGAAACTACAACAACTACTATTTATTTTAATTTATGTACAACGTTTATGCCCGTTTTGTTTGATTCTTAACAACTAAAATTCTAATATATTTTCCGCTATTTTATTTTATTTTTTCTTCTTTTGTAGTTGTCGCCGCTGTTAAGCTCGTTTCAAAAATGCGCGCGCAGCTACAAACATCACTGTGCTACCATCTATCGCTCTGTCAGGTTGATAGTATATAAATAGATTGTCTTCGCGGCGTGCAACTCCTTTTTACCAACCGTACCAGCGGTAACGCGAGCGAAAAGAAAAAAAACAAAAAATGTTATTTTTTTATGACGAGTATGCTCGATATAAAATCAATGTTATCACGATAATTTCTATTTACGTTTGCTAATAAAAATTCACTTTACTAGAAATTGATAACAATCGTAAACATAAGAAATTACGTGTTGTTTATTTCATTTTTGGCATATTCGATGAGGAGTAAATTATTTAAGAGTAAATTACATAAATGTTTGATTAAACCTTTTTGAATAAAAATGATTGACAATTTTTTTTGATCAATTTAATTTTGCGAAGTAATTAATAAGATGGTGATAACCTTTTCAATAATGGGGAGTGTTCTCTGATCTACATGTATTCTATGTTTTTCTCGATGCTTGTGATAGATATTGTTGTATGTACTCTGTTATGAGACAGTGTAACATAGAAATGTAAATCAATATTCTCTTATTAAAGGCTTGGCTTCCAACTGTAAGTAAATACAAATTTTTCATGTTTCAGTACGCAAACAAAAGGACATACTAAGATGGAGAACGTAGCAGGAAGTGAGGTTAGTTTTGTCTTCTTTTGAAGAACTGTGTTATTTATATATTGACTTAGATACGAATTTTTCATAAAATTTTATTGTCCTAATCTTCCTAATTTTTCCTAATTTTTATTGTCCTGGTATAAAGTATACTTAAGAATTATAATTTCTGCACACTACTCCTAATAATTTTTATTTGTGTGCTGTTTGACAGACTCAACAAATGGCACATCAAATGTCATCCTTAATAAACATGCCTCCGAATAGCCATGGTGTACCAGGGATAGATCCACCGAAAGCATTGCCAAGTTTATTGAGCCTGAAGGTGAGTCCACCGAGTGAATTGCAAAATCAGACTTTGTCAGATGACAATGGCCGGGACACAGACAACGATTCTGTGAAACTGCCAGCAGCTTTAGAACAGGCATTGGCTTTTAAAACCGAAAGAGCTAAAGAAGTAGGAGCAGACCCAAATGACATTGTTTTGCTGGGGAAGTCGCCGAATCACGAGAACGTAGGAGAGGATGTGTCTCAGTTAGACGACGTTATACTCGAACCTGAAACAACAACAGAAAAAATAGACACAAAGGCGAATAAGACCAAGAAGAAGAAAAAGAAAAAGAGAAAGAAGCACAACGCAGGGAAGGATATTGAGAACAAGAAAGACAACATGGAGAACGCAAAACCGAAAGAAGATCTGCCGGAGATTGAATATATTCAAGAAATCCCGAGTGTCAACGACTTGGAGCCAATGTATCGTCAATTTGCTAGAATATTTGAGGCATTTAAGCTGACCGAACCGGAGCCAAAGTCTGCAGAGGCAGAAAAGGGAGAGCCGATAGGACAGTACCCACCAGTGTCAGCATTGCAAACTGCAGGAACTGTACCAAGTAAAGTGCCACCATTGGATGATTTCGATGATGATGCGAATCAACAACAACAGCAACAAGGAACTGGGGAGAACGGTGCTCCGCGCCTCTCCAAGAGAAAACTGAAGAGGCTAACGCGTTTGAGCGTTGCGGAATTGAAGCAGCTCGTGGGACGACCAGACGTTGTAGAGATGCATGACGTTACTGCTAGGGATCCGAAACTTCTCGTGCAATTGAAGGCTCACCGTAACACGGTACCCGTACCGAGGCATTGGTGTTTCAAGAGAAAGTATTTACAAGGAAAACGAGGTATAGAAAAGCCGCCGTTCGACTTGCCGGACTTCATAAAACGCACGGGTATAACAGAGATGAGAGCGAGTCTCCAAGAACGCGACGATACGCGTACGTTGAAGGCCAAGATGCGAGAGAGAGCGAGGCCCAAGCTTGGCAAAATAGACATTGATTATCAAAAATTGCACGACGCGTTCTTCAAATGGCAAACCAAACCGCGGATGACCATCCATGGTGACTTGTACTACGAGGGCAAAGAATTCGAAACTCGGTTGAAAGAAAAGAAACCTGGAGAGTTGTCTGACGAGCTGCGTACTGCCCTTGGTATGCCAGTAGGGCCTAATTGTCACAAAGTACCACCTCCGTGGTTGATCGCAATGCAACGGTATGGGCCACCGCCAAGTTATCCCAATTTAAAGATACCCGGTTTGAATGCACCGATTCCAGAAGGCTGCGCGTTTGGTTACCACGCTGGTGGCTGGGGGAAACCTCCTGTAGACGAAACAGGAAGACCTTTGTATGGTGACGTTTTTGGTATATCTCGAACTCCAGGTGGCGATAACATGGATGAAGAGATTGACAGGGGCATGTGGGGTGAACCTGAGTCAGAATCCTCTGGAGATGAGGATGAGGATGAAGATGCAGAAGAAGGTGGAGAAGGCGAAGGAGAAGGAAAAGACGGAGACGGAGACACGAGCGGTTTGGTTACACCTGGTGCAGAGGGATTGATAACACCTAGTGGAATAACATCGATTCCAGCGGGATTGGAAACCCCAGAAACAATAGAATTAAGGAAAAAGAAAATTGAGAGTGAAATGGAAGGAGGCGACACTCCTGCTTTATACACGGTTTTGCAAGAAAGACGAACAGAAGGTCTTGGAGCAAGCATGATGGGTAGTACACACGTGTACGACATGACTGGTGCAGCAGGAGGACAAGCACCACCATCTGTAATTGCCGCACGTCGTGGAGTGAGTGGCACAACATCAGATGGAAGAACAGAGAAAGATGGAGCTGTTGAGTTGGCATTAGATCCGAGCGAATTAGATTTGGATTCTGAAGCAATGGCGTCGCGATACGAAGAAACAATGAGGTCGCGACAAGCTCATTTAAGGAGGGAAGATTTATCGGACATGCTTCAAGATCATGTGCAACGGCAAAAGGTAAGTACATATTGTTGAATATTCATAAATTTAATGAATAAATATTCGTTGAATTAATTTTGCTTATTTCTTTCTTTACAGAGTAAACGTAAACGACAACAGAGTCAAGATTCGAAAGCCTCTAAGAAATACAAAGAATTTAAGTTCTAAGTTTAAACGAAAATTACTTATTTAAAAAATATAAAAATTATAATATTAATATAAGGTCGGGATTTCTTGAATGATGAATAATAAATCTTGAAGTACTATACTGAAATATCAAATTTTATATTTCATATCTTACAGTCTTACAAAATAAAATTTTTAAATGGTACATATTAGAAATACATATTAGTTTCTGCCAAAAGAAAAAACAAAAATGTATCAACTTATGCATTAAATAAAAACAATTATATTTACTTGATCATTTTATTATAAATAAATCTTCGATTATTTATTTACATATTTTATGTCTTTTGTACAATACAGTTCTTTTTAAATTAGTGTAAAATTTAAGTTTGTTTGGACAAAATGTTATCAGAGGATATGAAAGATAATGCAATAATACTATAAGACATGGAAGAAAAATGGCAATTGTGAATCTGCTTATAGCACTACCAATGTCTAGCCAACTTCCTTGAGGAGTAACGTAATACATGAGTGGTAAAGATAAACAATCTCCCAGTAAAAGCACACCTAAAAATATATTGGAAGATCCAAGTACGTGACTAGTGCATCCTATTAACATTAACGGAATGCTTAATTTTAAAAGTATCAACAGGAACATTGTAAATGGAGAGAAAACCGTTACGAAATGACGAGTCCAAGAAGGATCAAATGAACTGATACTTGCCATGTTCCCAGTTCCAAAGAAACATAATAACGTATATAACATCTACAGTGAGTCGTTCAGGATATTATTTCTATATTATATGTAATAATTCAATTCGAGTTTGAATCTTATATTATGAAAGGATACAAAGATTACTGCTTTAAGCAACTCTTCTATTGTCAAAGGATTCTTATTACTTTGATAATCCTGTATAGAAGATGCATTAGACTCATTAGACCAACAAGACAAATGTAACGCAAGAATTATAAAGAAAAACGGTTCATAAGATGCAGATAATAAAACAAGCGGGCAGAAAAGTCCCAACATGATTCCTTGCAATCTTTTTCTCAATTGGGTAGAATAAGTAAAAATATACAATGGTGTCGTTAATAAAATTGTCCATGATATCCAACTTCGTCCGTCTATAAATTCTACGTATGTTAATCCTGTGGTTATTAGGCGAAAAATTTCGATTGCTTTCTTATATTTTGATTGCATTTTTAATGCAACCATTACACTTACAACGCATATACTTAGAATTCTAAAAGCAAATATTTTAATTATGAGAATTATTTCGATATGAGAAATATTACGATATAATATTGGTATGAACTTACATAATGTAAACTCGTGGATATGGCTCTACAACAGGTAACAGCGGAAAAACAGCTAAACATACCGCTGTCCAAGAGAATAAATTTCGAGCGTTCTTTTGCAATATCTTCTGAACAACAGTAACACATAACATTCCTACGCTAAGAACGAATCTATGTGTTAAGCCAACAAACATCGTTATAAATAAAAAGATTATTTCTGCAATTATTGTCCAATAATATTTGTTGTTGCAGACTTTTAATTTTACTGCGTACATAATTATACTTCGAATAGCTAGCCAGGAAGAAATCATGGCTAAAAATGCATAACAAGGTAATCTCCAATTATTACAACCTGAAACTATTTTACCTAAAATTAGATTCAATAATTTCTCAGATAGTTATGTTTTATATAAAGTATCGTACCTTTATGCGTAATAAATATAATAATCACTATGACTATAAATACACAGTCTGTTGTTAATAAGATAAAAGAATTGATAACGGGTCGATTAACTCCAGTTATTTTGAAGAATAACAGTGTTATCCATCCAAGCCATATTACAGACAAATATAACAGAAACCGTTTTCTTTGATATTGTCGAAAATATATCAAAGACTTTTTGGCTAGCTTAATTCCATCAATTATTTCCTTTAATTTCTCATTTGAATCCTCCGTTTTGGAATCTTTATCTAAAATAGAAATTTTATTATCTAATTCTATCTCTCTCCAATCTGCAAATCCGTTATCTTCACAATTCATTTTGCGATTTGCCTTTACTTGGTATGTTAATTGTTTCAAATTATTTAATAGCGCATGATTTACGTATTTAAGATTAGTAGTACTTAAATACTGCCATGGTAAAACACCCTAAAAAATTACGCAGATATTGAGAAGAATGCTAAGTAATAAAACTATTATTATTCTCATACTTCGTTGTTAATTGGAATTGGAGCACCAATCAAGGCCGAAATTAGCGGTGTGATATCGACTTGCTCTACATTTTGACGAAAATTAAATGCATTAATTCCTGCACCCCAAACGATCAATGGTGTTTCCGTTTCATCTGTAGAACCACTTCCATGTGATCCCCAATCAGTCATTCCATGATCAGATGTGAAAATATACGCAGTATTATTATCACCAAAAAAATTTTCCGTCATTTGCACAACTTCCTCTATTTTCCGATCGACATAATTCATGTTCTCAACATATTCTCTACATTCAAATGTAATTTAGAGCTAATGAAATTACAATCCTATTGAATATGTCATTTCTTCTCAATGTAAAGAATGTAAATTGGCAAATTCTTTTCATACTTGGAATAAGGTTTCGCTGTATGTCCTGTGGTATCACAGCCAAGCAGATGAAGGAACAGAACGACACGTTCAGCGTTTTTATACTTGTGAGCATCCTCCCTGAGCCAATCAATGTATTTGTCAAATACCCAGGAATCTAAACGCCAAATCTGACCATGCATTATATCAAAATTTTGCCATTCGGCAGGATAGCTATCACCGTGTATATTGTCCCTTGTACCTAATTTTAAAAATGTTAATCTGATTTCTCAGCTATTTGTCAAATATTTAACTGTATTATAATACCTCTTGTAAACATAGGTATAATGTCTGGACTTCCCCATGCCCACGAAACATAACTCTGATTAAAAATAGAATCAAAGTCAACAGGATTTTCCTTCCAGCCTTTAAATATAGCACTAGGATCTTCGTATAATCCCGCACAAATTGCAACAATACCTGGCCTAGATTCCGTTGGCATTCTTGTGTGAGATATACCCCAAGCACCTTTGTCTGTCATTATGTGTCTGTAATCAAAATCATGGATAATATCATTGCACGTGTGTGTATGAAATTCAGAAATGATCTTCAATTACTTGAGATATTTTGGTGGTGCGTCAATAAAAGTTCTGAATCTCAAGCCATCTGCTACAAATAAGATCAATCTTTTTGCTGGTGCATTTTTCAGTATTGGCACATTTGACAATTCTTGAATAATAGGAGAATGGAAGTTCACATCGAGTACACCCCATAACAGTATCAGATGCATTGTCAAACCCCATATTACAAATGAATAATTGTTACTGACTATATTAAACTTTTTATAATGCATCTTTTCACTAAAGTATCTGAGACTTCCAATACGAGTTAAGCCTAACCTAGAAAATTGACAATTTTAAACGTAAGATACAAATTGTACAACTGACATGATTTTCTATTATTTCATTCGTTTTATAATTTTATTAAAATATTAAGATATTCTACGTACGTTATTTTTTTAATTAGTCCTCTTTTTATTTAGAATTTTTTAACGCAACAATGTATTGTAAGAACATCGTATTACAGCTCTTAATAAGAAGCGTTGGTTTTATATATAAATGTACGTATTCAATACTACAAAAATATTTAACAAACAATTTTTTTCGCGTCAACATAAAAACATCCGGAAATAAACAGCCGTTCGTGTATCCATCTGTCTTAACCTATAAATCTATGAGAACACGAGTCACACGTATAACTATCGCATACCACACTATGGCTGTTCGCTAAACTCTGAAGCAATTTCAGAGGTGAGGTAATGATGTCGAACACGATGTGAGATTCACTTTACCTGCCATGACATCGTGATATTACATTTTTATAGTATTTGCTAGTCCATAGTGTATAATATACAATTGCAACGATAAATATATTTTTATAGAAAATTGTTTATACTTTTAAACATATTTTAAACCTACTGAAATATTTATTCACACGTATGATTTTCAGATTTATGATTCAGTACAAAGTGTAATTTTCTAGTAGAAGTTGTATAAATAGGAAAAAAAAAAGAAAAAGAAATGGTAGTGGGTGTTTTTCCAGCTCTAAAATTGGGAGTTTTGTTCGTTAAACAAATTAGCAAGCCCATAGCCAAGTTTCTTGTTAACCAAGCAAAAAATCATCCTGTGTTCAGGACATATTTCATTATACCGCCTGCACAATGTAAGTAAAATTAATCTTCTTAAGTGAAAAATGTTTGAAATATTATTTACTTTATTGTGATGTAATTGACACTGATGTCATTGTTGATAATAGTGTATTTCATATTTTTGTGATTTAATTGCAGTCTACCATTGGGCAGAGGTAAATGCCAAAATGTATTTAATGAATCTTAGCAAACCTACAAAAGTTGCAAAGTTGAATGAAACTATGGCCATAGAATTAGGAGCTAATTTGATGGGTGAGGTTATCATTTTTAGCGTTGCCGGCGGTTGTTTAATATTAGAATACAATCGTCAAGTAGCGAAAGAGGCGAAAAAAGAAGAAGCGCGTCTTCAGCAAATACAATTGTTTACGAATGACATTAAGAACTTGAATCAGATCACTTCTGAACAGGAAAGTGAAATTCAATATTTACACGAGGTTATTCAGGAAATAGCTAAACATATGAAGTATGAAATTGTTGCGAAACCAAGGGTAAAAGAAACAAATGAGCAAGTGCAACACTCAAATATCAATGAGAGTCAGAATAGCGCGAATTCAAAAACCGAAAAACCGTCAATAATTGAACGTGCTATATTATATTACGAGAATAATGTGAAAACAGAAAAAGTCAGTTAACTGAAATTTTTAAATTTTATTAATGATTGTGATAGTGTAGGTATAACTTGAATAATATTAAAGGGAGAAATGTATTTATGATATCACAGTGTATATAAAAAATGTCCCATAATATATACATGACTTCATATATCATTAAAATCACACATAACACAATTTATACATTAGTATGTATTGTTGAGGACATTCGGTATTTTCTATTTATGCTTATACATGTATAGTTTTTTCTATCATCATTTTCAAAAACACATATACATAGTCTGTAAATTATACAAAGACAAAACATTTCTAAACTAGACAGCTTCGAACAAAGAAATAGTCGATCTATAATAGATTCAATTAAATTGTATTATACAATAATGGTACTGATAAAAAAAAATATTTTAGCACACATTTTTATTAATTACTCGTAAAAAAATGTTTATTCATTTATTAGTTTAGGCTTATTCCTTCCTTCAACATTTTTTGTAATGTATGAATTCTTGCCTCCAAATTTTCAAACTCGATTTCTAGAATAAAAAGTTTTGAAATTCGTTACATGTGTATCCATAAGTTTATCAATATCAACTTAATACTAACTTGCATTCTTTGTTTTATTATTATACGTTTTCGTGTTTCGGCAAGGAGATCGTTGGGTTCTAATCGATTCTAACGAGCTTCCTGTTTGTCATCAATTAAAGTACACGTTAATGATCGATGGAAGAAAAACGTGCAAGTAGAATTTTTGACATTAAGTTAAGTAGAACTTTGATTTAATAAGTGTACACCTGGCGATAAACTAGATGTTCTATTGCGGCTTGAAATCGAAGAAGATCGACTTCTGTTCCGTCTACAAGGTGTGCGATTGCGACGTTTCGATGCTGGACTATTATCTCCGGGCTTTTTGTTAGCAGATGCAGTAAGTTGTTGTACCCTCAATAACAAGGCTGCGTTTTCAGCTTTAAGTCTTTGAATTTGCATGCGAAAGGACGTACGCTCTTTAACAACGTTATTCTCTAACGACTTAATCGATTCCGATAAATATTTTAAACCTTTCCCTGAATGATAAAATATATTTAAACAAAGTGTTGTCTGCAAAGCGTTGCAGCGTATTTATTTCTACCTCCGCTTGCGAGCCTACGATTCTCCTGTACAAGTTTTTGATTCGCAATTGTCAGTTGCTCGATGCGTCTTTGGAAATCCTTATATACCCGTGTAGACTGTAATCTTTCAAGTTCGGTTTGTAATTTTCTAATGGTAGTTTGTAGTACCGTAGGACTGGGTAAACCACAATATTCCAAAGGTAAGGGGTAATGGATTCTTAATGAAATTGGGACATACGTTTAATATATTTCAAGCGAATACAGTGAGTTTGGGAGATGTACCTTACCTATCGAACTCTACTGTGTACGTTAGTATAAGATATCGGCGATTATTTGTCGCATTGCCTAAACTTGAACACGAACTACGTTCGAGCTTGCGGGCACGTAACAACTCTAAATCTTCAAACGTTAGCAAGTCCAATGCGATAGATTCGCTCGTCTGCAATTATAATTCCTTTCATCTCATTTAATTGATTGAGCAATTTGAATGCAAATTTTACTTTCAACAATCCGGACTGCAGCATGGCCACAAATACGTCGAAATGTTTGTAATTACCCGTTTTCTGCGTCAAATTTTCAATATCTTGAAAGTAAAGAAAAACCGTGTAATTAATAACGAATTAGCGAATAACATAAAAACCTACAAATTGCGTGTATAATATACAATTATATAATACGTAATATATAATTTATATATTATATATAATTATATAATTTTATTCAGTTTTATTATATAATTGTATATAATTGGTATTTATATATAATTATATGTATATAACTTATATTGTATATAATGTAATTTATACATATACTATATAATATAAAATTTCTAATACAAAAATTACAAACTGCGAGTGTAAAAACAAGAATTCAAGGATTTTCGATATAACCTTCAAACAACGCGATAGCTACAAGAGATAAAGCAACAACATAGAACAAACATGCAGCGTCATAACAAGATTGCCAGTTCTCAGCAGTGTGTTTGTCGGTGATGGTGAGCTCTAAATTACGCTGGTATCCCTTGAAAGCGGCGACTCTGATCTTCACAATGTATTCTTTGCCGCTTTTGAAAGTGTAACTTGTCACCAGAGATGGACCAACTTCGTTCATACTTGTCGACGGCGGACTTTAACGAGACATTGGATATCTGACATAAGAAGTTTTCGGGTAAATTGGCACCTCCCCCTCCCTCCTCCCCAAAAAAGAAAAGAAAAAGTAATTGCGTCGAAAAATACAATTTGAAAAATTGAATCGGAGGATCGAGCGCTTAAATTTCACACTGATCTGCACGCGGGCAGTATGAGCTCGATAATTAGGTAACGTGTAATCGTCTCACAAAGTACGAGAGCGCGGCTCAGTGTACGTTGATGCGTGGCTGTCAGTGCCATGATACGAAATGTACCGAGTCAGAGGATGAGCTTAAATTCATGACGAAAATAAGTGGCTGAACCGTAAATATGTGGTCCTTCTTTTCGAGAGATCCCGCCAAAGATTTTTCATACGAGATCGGCGAGCCAGTTCCTGGTCTGGACGAAAAAAGCATTTGGACGTTGCACAGGGCCAAGAAAAAGGTACCATAACCTGACGCGGTAAAAAAAGAAAATCTTAGAAAAATATGTCACTTTTTAGGTATTCACTCGTACCTCACGCCGTCTGTTTGTCAATTTTATTCTTACTATCCGAAATGTTTTTTCACAGGGTTCTGCAGGCGGTGAAGATGTCTCGGTGTTTGTGTTTGAGTGCAAGACTGGCAATGAACATCTTTTGAATATAGCTCGTTCGGCAGTGAAGAGATTAAAAACACTCAGACATCCGAGTATACTTGCATATCTTGATAGTTTCGAGGTACAACGATAATGGTATATCGCATTAAAAGCATGAGTACATAGCGACATGATATATTCTTTATAATTCCAGACAAATAAAGTAATTTATTTAGCAACCGAACGCGTAGAAACTTTGTACAGTCGATTGACAAGGAAATCTGATAACGATGATGAATCTAAGAAGGAATTATATTTTTCTTGGGGAATATTCCAGATCACTGTATGTGTAAGAAGTAATATATCATTTTGTAGCACATTACTATATGTATGTACATTTTAATTTTCTAGAGAGCGTTGAATTTTCTAAATAATGATGGTAACCTACGGCATAACAATGTTAATTTGTGGACTGTGTTTGTTAATGAGGAAAGTGGAGAATGGAAACTTGGTGGTGTCGAATACATGACAGCGGTAGACGCTGTTTATAATACATTGCCATCAACATTTGAAGTATATTATCCTCTCGATATTAAGGAAAATGTAATGCCAGCCACCAAATGGTAAAAAAGATTTGTGATAGGAGTAAAAGAATTTCATATCCCTATTTAGTTAACCATTATTGTCTAGAATTCTTTTCGTTATTAACTAAAAAATACACGCATGTGCATTGCAAAATAAGATAAGAAAGATAAACCAACCATATTTCTGTTCGTAGCAACGATTCATTTAATACGTAAAATATTAACAATGTAATTTTCTCATTTGGTGAATAATAGAAAATAGTTACTTTATTCCTAAAATTACACTACAATACTAGCTTTTCTATATGTAAACATTTAGGTTTATTGTTAACACTAAGAAATTGATAAATAAAAAAACAGCTCAGTTGACATGTGGGGACTTGGATGCCTGGTCTGGGAAACATATAATGGTCCATTAACTTCAAATTCGCAGCTTAAAATTACCGATAAGGTACGTATTCTGTTTTTTCTGCGAGATAAATATTTATTTTGAACTTTTGGTAACGATATCACTTCTTTTTAGATTCCAAAACAATTGCAAGTGATATATCGTGAATTGACCAGTAGCAACGCAGAAGGAAGACCAAATCCTGCCGACGTAATAGCACGTTGCCGCAGTAATGGAGGATTTTTTAAAACCGAATTAGTAGACGCACTTTTATTCTTAGAGGAAATCCAAATGAAAGAAAGAGGAGAAAAAGGACGATTTTTTGCGCAACTTGCTGGCCAGTTAGAATCGTTCCCAGATGGTGTTGGCAGGTATAAGATTTTACCGCAATTACTGGCTGCTTTCGAATTTGGCGACGCCGGTAGTGCAGTATTACCTCCTTTATTACAACTTGGCTGCCAACTCCCTGATGCCGAATATCAACGGAGAGTTGTACCATGCGTTGTGAAATTGTTTGCATCCAACGATAGAGCAACAAGATTAAGATTGTTGCAACAGCTGGACCGATTTGTTGATCATTTGCAACCAGCAACAGTTAATGAAGCTATCTTTCCACAGGTAATATAAATATTTTTTCTTTTCTCTTTTTTGTTACGCAAAAACGAAAAAAGATTCAAGATATTTTGATATTACAGGTAGCCAAAGGTTTTTTAGATACAAACGCTGCAATTAGGGAGCAAACGATAAAATCTGTCGTACACTTAGCACCAAAATTAGATTACAACAATCTTAATGTGGAAACATTGAGGTACTTTGCTAAACTTCAGTCAAAAGATGAACACGGTGGCATACGTACTAATACCACAGTTTGTTTAGGAAAGATTGCTCAACATCTTCATCCTCAGATTAGACAGAAAGTAATTTTTCAATTCAAACAAGCGAAGTGTAGTCCTGTCTAATAATAAAGATTACAAATATATAACGTTATCGTAGGTATTAATTGGAGCATTTATTCGAGGTACACGAGATCCATTTCCACCGGCTAGAGCAGCGAGTATTTTAGCATTAGCTGCAACGCAACAATACTTTCTACTACAGGAAGTTGCAAATCGTATTTTACCAGCTCTGTGCCCGCTCACTACAGACATGGACAAAGGAGTAAGAGATAACGCGTTCCGAACTATTCGCGGATTTTTATCGAAACTCGAAAGAGTATCAGAAGATCCTGGATTGCGCGAATCTATGGGTACTGAAACGATTCGAAGAATCTATCCACAAGGAAGTAATCAACGTAATTAATATGAACGATACGATTTCAGAGGCTGACGTAAATACAGCTACACCAAGTCTTAGCAATGCAGCCGCAACATGGGCTGGTTGGGCTGTGACGGCTGTTACTGCTAAATTTTATCGCAGCCAGTCAGATACACCAAAATCATCAAATTCACATAATGTATCTAGAATTTTATTAAACAAACCTGCCTCTTTAGGTACTTAATTCGCATATATATTTTTATTCTACTACTGTGAAACAGTTTTTATATAAATGTATGATAAAATTACAGAGCAAGCTAGCAGTTCACAAAGCAGTGCTAGTACAACTGCCACAACAAGTAGCGCTACAAGTATGACCTCGTTAGACCATGATCATGAACATGATTTACAAAATGCTACAAACGCAAATTCAGATTGTGATTGGGATTGGGATGCTGACAATTGGGGTGATATGGAACAGCAATCTTCTAATACGCCAGGGCATGGACCAAGTAATATTTCACCTTCTCCTCATTCTCCTAAACCTAATGATCAGTGGACGAGTCTTGAAGAGGAACCAGTTTGTATTATTTGAAACTTCAGACACTAGTGTATCAGCACGCTACATAAAATAAAGAAAAAATTGAAATATTACTTTTAGGAGGAAGAAGCAGCACAAAATGTCGAAGATAAAAATGAATCTTCTGACGTGGGTTGGGAGGATTCAGAATTTCAACCTCTAGAAGATTTTCAACCTTTGGAACATACACAGCCAGGTATGTCTGTGTTTCCACAACTACCACTTATAACTTTCGTTAATATGACCAATTAATTTGTACTTAATTCCTTTATATAAGAAAACGTTGAAAGTACTAATACAATTACTGGAAATAATAAATTGGAAGAAGCCAGGAGAAAACGTGAAGAGCGTAAACTAGCCAGGCAAAGACAAATGGAAGCAAAAAGAGCGATAAAATTACGAAACAACGTCGCTGTTAAAAAACTCTAATGATTTAACGACTGCATTCATGTATTTAACAAAAGGAAGAAATTAAAAAAATGATGAATGTGAAATAAGTATTTTTTTCTATTGTGATTAATTGGTATCTGTCGAAAATCAATTTTGAATTGTCTTTTTTTTAACATTGTTTATTGCATTACTATATATTCTTATAAAATATTATACGTACATTCCGTTAAATACAATTACATATTAATAATTTTTTAACCTGTACATCCCAAGTTATATTTATTGATTCAGGTTGCGACAGTTCATCGATTAAAAAGTTTTAAAACGGATTAATAATTACTCTCTTTTTCAAACGCTTGACATAAATATGATAGGAATTTCTGTTTAAAATTGATAAACTAAATTTGTGTAACGATTTAAATCGTAAATTTTTTTAAAACAGTTTTACATATCGGTTCTCTCCTATTGTCATAAATGAGACTGTTCTGCAATAGCAGGAAATCTCATGTTAAGATAATTGGCATTATTAGGCTCGCGTTTGAAACCCAAGCTTTCATAAAATGGTATTAGGCGATCTTTGCAATCTAGTGTTAACTTGTAACATCCTAAATAACGTGATAATTCTAATATAATTTTGACTGCCAGCTTCCCTAGATGTTTACCACGGTACTCAGAGTTTACTACTACATCTTCTAAACGACCTCTCTGTAACAAAGTTTTTGCTCTTATCGATAAAGGTTCTACTATATACTATATAAAAAAATTTCAAAAATGAAGAGAAAAAACGTACCACCGCACAATTGTGAATAAATTTTTGCTCTACAATTAAAGTTGCGGTTGCTACTAGTTTTTCATCATTTACATCCTCTATTATAATGACATAATAGTTACCAGCATTTTTCATCATATGGAAACGACCTATGTGTGTACAAATGAAATTAAACTTTTACAATCATCTTTAGAGATAAATTCTTTGAATTTCAGAAAACTTACTAAGAAATTGTTCTCTACTGACATTTCCAACTTCAGTCAGTTGAGCCAAAAGTTGAAGGAAACCTTTTAAATAAATACTATGGATAGTTAATGAACTGCATATAGTTAGCAACGATAATTATTTTACAATCTTTGTTTTACCTCTGTCATAATCCTCTGATTTTAAAGGCCTAATTGATAAACCATCGGTCTGTGGCAAGGACAGTTGTTTCAACACGTTCGGGTTAAACAAGTCGGTTTCCGGATCCTCAAGACATTTTTCCTGTCAATGTCCGACAAACAAACAATAATTAATCAACAATTAACGTACTAACTTTGAAACATTATAAATTTGAAAAAAAAGAAGTCCTAAATTTAGTGACATATTGTTTTTCATCAAGCCAACATTACGCATTAAATACAGACATAAATGAAATTCTTTGAATTCAATTCAATAAGGTTCAAAAGTAACACAACCTCTATGGAACTCATGGCAAGTACACACGCTATTTCAGATTATTTAGTGAATCACGTTCGATAGATATATGTATATTTTTATCTTCCGCGCTTTTGCTCAGGCCAGAACGTATGGGGACGTTTGCGAATATTCTGTTTGATCTTACTGTAACCATAAGGTTACGCTTCCACGTAGCTACCTTGAAACATTGGTATACTTTTCATATTTTATCCCAAGGATTAAGTCTGATTAAGTCCCGACTAAGTCTATTAAAAATTCACTTTCTTTATGATCGCGTGTCACACCGTGATAAAACTGATCTATAGTACGTGAAATGTATCTTGATTAACAAGATATACGGGTTTCATTTACGTAAACTCGTATTTGATTTTCATCAAAGATATCATCGATCGTTTTTAATATTTTCTATACATTGACGTCGGTAATTGACTTTCGTTTTGGGGTTTATTTCTCGTCGTTGAAATGTCACTTTAAATTTTCGCAGAGTTTCTAACATTTCAGCGAATTTCTTTGGTTTCTTTTTCTCATCCTTGAGATTTAATTGGTCCGACTCTTGACCAATGAGATTCGAAATCTTGGACTCCGATTGTAGACAACCGCGATATTTATCGATATATTTTACTAGGGCCTAGTTATGTAACATTGTTCTGCGGCCGTTGGCAATAATAATAGACTCGTTTTGTCAATCAATTAAGATCGTGTCTTAAATCGGCAAAAGGTAAGTGAAATACGTTACGTTTCATTTTGATGTTACATTTATAAACGTTTAACGAATGAAATCATGTAAAAGACTAAATCATGTAAAGACTATATTCGATATACTGATTATGCAAAAGAAACTTTTTTTTCACGTGATAAATGTATGTAATATTATTCTCATGGAACTGTATTTTTGTGATATTTTACGTAAAAAAAAAGAAAGAAAAATAAATTCCATTTAATTGTAATTTTACACGGATCACTTTTCATTAACCAATGTATTTGAATTTACAAGATCTTTGAAGAAACAGAAATATTATTTTTAATATAAAAAAAATTTCTTATCATGTAGTTTCAGTAATTAATCATTATCACTTTACAAATTAAAAATCTTATATACTCTTACATGTAGCTCTGGAGTATTTCAGGTATTGAAATGCAAATGCAGACACTAGCTACAAACAATAAAAAATCAACATTTAATTGATTTTAGCCATGGCTGGAGAACAAATGAAATACCCATATTCGTTGGGTGCAAAAATTAGACGATTTCCATTTCATCATTTTTTCTTTGTATCCAAACACGGTTGGATACTTCGATATTGGGCAATTAGCATATTAGTTTGTACACCTATATTCTATAAATTCCAAAAAGCAAGTAAGTACAATGACTTTGAGAACTTCACTTGAAATTGCTTATATATTTATGTTTATAGACACAGTATCAGTTACTGATGCTTTTTTTTTTATTTCATTGCAGCTCACAATCCAGGAAACGTGGAACAATGGAAAAAAATCCACGAGAAACAATTCTCTGGAGAAATGCATCATTAAACTGTATTTAAAAATATTGTAGTCTATTGCGAAAGAAAAAAAAAAAATATATATATATGTATGTGTATAAATAGTTTCAAATTGTCTATATAAATCTATTTCAAAAGTTTATTACCAAATTAATTGTATAAAACATACATGATTACAAAGAACTGCTTCTTCTACTGTACAATGTGGAGATTAATAATAATTTGTACCGTAAATTTCAAGTGGAGCATGTCTAAAATTTATAACTCTTTAAAAATAGACTAATTTTTGCAAAAAAAAAAAGAGAAAGCAAAAGAGAAAATAAGTACTATAAATATACTAAAGTACTATAACAATTTGACAAGAGTTAAAACAAAAATATTTAAATAATAAAATTTTTCCAATAATTCTATGCATTATATAACAATGCATTTGAATCCAAATAAAATCTACTTTATAAGTAATTATGTAGCAACTGTATTTGTATCAATGCGCGATTATTTTTTTCATATTTATAGTAGAAAAATTCTTGATTTCTATTATGTATATATTAATTCTTAAATCATCAGTCATGTTATGCGTCATCGCACTTCGTATTGTATACAGACATATAAAAGGCAGGTAGTGTGTAACATTTTACATGAATTTGCCAAATCAAGTTTTTCAATGTTTAGGATATATTTAAGTAATTCTCAAAATTTTCTTATCATAAAAATATACGAAATGTAATCGAACGAATAATATTAAAATATTAAATAATTATTAATATAGTAAAAACTTGCCTGATAACAAAAAGTTCATTTATGATAATACTAATTCAAAAAACTACTTGTACTGGCTCAAGCATATGAAAATTGTTCACGTGCTTGTTCACTTGCTTATAAAATTCACTACATTAACTTTAACGGTAAATTTCTACAAACGATATGCGAGAGCAAGAATGCATAAAATTCTACAAATAATACTGTTTTTTTTTATTATAGCAAGCGTAAGAAAAGGGGATATTTGACAATTACAAAGAAAATACTTTAAACACTTTTAAGCTTGCGTTTTATCATTTCTTTCAATGGATGAACTTCATAAAATTCTATGCGATATTTTCTAATATTTAGTAAACGGAGTCTCTTTTTCTTTTTTAATAATATATACTTTACAGAATTTCTTTTGTTGAATCATGAATCTGTACACAAATTTAGTATCAACATCTGTGTACAAATTTAGTATCAAGGTACATATAATTTACGTATCAGGAGTAAAAATTGATATCAATAAATATAACAGCTTAAAGAAAGTACTTTATCTCTATCTTGATTTTTGAATATTTTCTGTGTCTTCATCATCGCTAATTGAAAGACCATTCTCTTCGAGTTTCGGTTTCTTTGCATCCGGAGATCGTAGTAATTCTTCATGTGTCATCAATCCTAATTCTTTGCATCGTTTCTCGTAGTACTTCAACAACCTGATACCTGCTCTGTATACGTAACTATTTTTAAAAAGACATAGCCTAACTTTCAAAATCTGTACTATTTTAAATGTTCGGAAGCCAAAGATTTTGATCCTGAATTGTTCTAAATTTTATCATAATAATTTCTGTCAATTCTATTGAAGTAGTAAGTATATAGTAGAAAGTAGTAAGTATATATCTTATAATGATTTCAAGATATATATTTAGATCATTGTAATATTTAGTTTAATAACAGGAAATATAATTTATTTATTTATTCATAATATTGTGCTTCTGTAATATTTAGTTATTGTACATTTTGTTGACTGAATGATTAAATGTTTATTAATTACAAATGCATGCTACTCAATCCCATTTCTATCTTTTAGTGTTAAAGATACAAATTAGATTTAATAATATAAATAAACGTGCATAAATAATATAATGTGAAAATGTTAGCAGATATAAAGTTAATGTTTAAACACTTGCAGTATGAACATAGCATATTAATCAGTAATATTAGTTTATCTCGCAATCTCTGGCGTCCGAACTAACGTATAAAAATATTGATATTATTTATACTCACTTGTAGACAGAACTGTGTTCTTCATTATAAGCTTGACAATTTTTAAATACTAAATGACAATCGCTGAAGAAATGTTCCAGTGTTTCGTATTCGCTATTATTAAGTTTATATTTAATTGTACCAAAATCCATAGGATTGGAAATAATATCATGATAATCTGGCACTTCGTCTTTTGTAACAGGTGATAGAAAAGGCCACGAATCTCTGTGATGTCTAATATCTGAAAGCAATTCTTGCAGTCTTCCCATACACCCTTTGATTGTTCCCTTATCTTCTTCTTGTTCAATTTCAGCAGCTCTTTTAGCTGCTCTCCTAGTTTGTCTTGGTTCAGTATCTTCTGACGTGCTGCTGTCTGTATATCAAAATATATTTACATGCAATTAAATGTTAATATTAATGTCAGGATCTGAACATTTTCTTGAAATAATTAATGCAAAATTGAAAAAAATTATTGGATCAAAGAAAGTATAAGTATAGTTAAAGGAAAAAACAATTATAATATAAACTTTTAACGTTTGCTTTTACAGAAGCGTAAGAAATTACCTGCACATATATGCGACAAAGTTAATTTATCCTAATTTAATAATAACGAACAAATGTATAAAGCAATATGTCATGTGATTATTATATCAAATATTATCATTATTATTATTATCATATTTGTAAAAAAAAAGTCTGTACTCATACTACGTAAAAGAGAATAGTTACAATACAGACCGTCCCAGTCTGTAGATTCTGTAGTGAGGAGGCTCTTGGCAAAGCCATGGATGCGAGAGCGTGCTGCTGCAGCGCACAGTCTCTCCTTGTCCCTTTCCCTTTCACGCCCCCTCACTAACAACATAATTAGAACTAAGAAACTGCTTTATTACATTAGTATTTAAATTAAAATTTACTAAAATGTTAACGCGAAATAATTATGAATAAAATATTATGAAGTAGCGCAATACTTTCAAAGTTTGTCATAGCATTTCCTTGCCATTGAATTTGAAAGTGTGTTATAATATTTACCGTATTTCATATTTGCTCGTCTGTCTTTCCTATCCTTGCATTCTGAACAAATCCATCTTCCTCGAGGTGGTCTTGTTATAGGAGGTTCTAAACATTCTACGTGATAAAAGCTTGAACAAATATCGCAACTGATTAATTTTCCACCGCTTTTGCACATGGAGCAAACATTTATTTGTTGATTACTTCTGGAACATATGTTAATTATTGAAGCATTTTTTTGCTTAATACCTAATAATATCTATCATAATAATTTACAGAGACATCAAATATTTTTTAAAATAATAATACGTACATATCATCATCACTATCTTCTTCTAATTCTTTATCATCTGACTCTTCTTCTTCCTCGCTTTCAAGAACACGTTTTGTACGATTATGTCGAGTTTCTTTGGTTAATATTACGTCTTCTTCGAATTCATCTTCAAATTTTGTTCTCTTTTTAATTTTTTCTTTTGGTTTAGTCGATGGCTTACATGTCTTGCAATACCAATCTCCATCCGGCACACTCTATAAATAAATATTTAATATTATGTATAGTAACACAATGAAAGTTAAGAAAAAGGGATTTAAAAAAAAAATTTACAGTTAGTTTTGGTTGTAAACAATACAAATGGTGGCCTTTGTTGCATCCGTCACACAGTAACATTTTATCGCCGTCTCGTCGCCGTCTGCATACTCGACACTGAGCATTTAATACACTTCTACTCCATGCAACACTATTTTCTAGAGTACTCAAGTGTAGAAACAATTGAGACCAACTTGTCGATGCCATGAGCGATTGTTCCCATTTTTCCCTAGTATCTTCGCCGGATTTTTTATCTTTCTCACTAACGCCTAACGGTTTCTGTAAGTACTTTTGCTCAATAGCTTGGGACAACTGTAAAATAGCGCAAGCCATTTGCTTAATGGTCAACTGTTGTTTAAAATCTGGAACTATTTCATTTTCACTTGGTGGACCTAAATATTTTCCCGAGTCTTTGTAGGTTTTCATATTAATACTTCCAACTTCCGAATCTGGAGTTCCAGGCCTACTGTGTTTAGTTTCACTCTTAACTTTGTCTAACGACGCATCAGAAAGAATATCTGTTTCAACTTCATTTGTACCATACGTTAATTTATCGCATTGTTTATCATATTTCCTTTTGTTTATCATATCCCTCCATATTTCACGATCGTTAACTTTCAAACTTCCAAGACCCCCTCCTTTCACTCTATCTTCAAAATCTAAGATATAATCTCTTAGAGTTAATTCTAAAACGACATCGACTGGCACTTCTGGAGGGAAATTTAAGTTGGCATTTTCATATCTGTTCTTCTTTGAGATTTTGTTAGGATGCACTTTGATAGGTTCTGAAAACTGTACCGAAAATTCACTTAACAAAAGTGATTTTAAAAGAATCAAAAAATACTGTAAATATAACACTTACGACTTCAGGATTAAGTTTATGCCTAGGACATTCCTCAATCACAGACATTATGCTTGTCATTTCTTGTGTAATATTATTTCTGAGTTCACCCTCTCTAATTCCTCGTTTATTTAAACCATTTACTAAAACCTCTATGTCTTCCTGTTTCCCATAGAAACTCCATTTCAATTCTGATCTCTTACAATGTACAGGACATTCTTTATCCCCTGTACAAGCCATTAAATTTTTTCTAATGTCACATAATTCTTGTTTGAATTCTTTTCGGGATATATCTTTCCTTGGAGATTTAAGGACGTTTTTGTCAGAGAACGAAACTTTCTTAGGAGACTTTTTTGCTTTCTTGAAACTATTCTCTTTATCGCTAAACTCATCTTCAAATTTATTTTTTAAGTATGCATGCATAGCTTCTGTATCTAATAATTCCGGTTGATAAGGTGTACCATCAGGAAGACAGTTACCAGACCACCATTCATCGTTCTCCACGAATATTCCTATAAGAAAAACCATGGAATTTATATGAATCTACATTTTCCATCCATTAAAATTACCTGGTATTGATAAAAATCTCCAGTATCTACGATGAGCTCTATCTGAACCTAAATAAACCATCATTTTGTCATCTCTAGATGCTTCCTGAAGTTCTTTTAATTTATTTTCATATTCTTCTTTCTTTTTCTCCTCTTCACAACTGCCGCGTGTAATCTTCTTTGGTGCTTTACTTTCGCCTTCTTTCTCCCGTTCTCTCATTTTTTCTTTTTCTTCTTTCTCTTTCCGTTGTTCAGCTATTAAGAAAGATCTCAATTCCTTCTTTGCTTGGTGAAGTTTTTCGCGTCGTTCTTCTATCACGTCTCGTATTGAAGCAAAAGTGAGCAACTGGTTTATCAAGCACGTGGCTACTTTTAACTTCTCATCTAACTCAAATTCGTGAACATTACGATGACCTAACAGTCTTAAGATATATGCCTCGTTTATCCTCATTAACAGTGCGGGATCATCTTGATTTGTATAACCACCTATAAAGAATATACTATTTATTAATCGTTCAATTTAGCATAATTGTATGTAAATACTAAATGTATAAATACCTCTTTGCGAATATCTCCACTTTGTAGCAACGTCGCCAATTCGTCCTCCGGAACATAACAAATGTTGTCTTAAAATTTCACTTAAAGTTACATGATCTAACGTCAATTCAGATAATTTGCAACCTTGGTGTATCTGACTCCAACTAGATACCATAGTAGAAAGTTTTACAGCTTTTGTCATTGATATCACTCCTTCATTCGTGCTAACATCGCTCGTTATATCAGATGCCTGAGCATGAATTTCATCCTCTTCATCTGTTTGATATTTAAAAATGTTTGCTAACAGCAACTGTAGAAGATCACTCCAGGGTCCAGATGTATCTTTCACTAATAATGCCTTTTCCAACAGATCTAAAGTAAAACCATTTGGAAAATATGCACTAACTTCCAGTTCTTCGTTAAAAAATTCTAAAAACTCGAGAATCATTACACTATCGCCAAATTTTTCATTGGGTATGCTACTTTTGAACGGCGTAGCCTCTGGAATAGGAGAAAGATCTTCACATTCAAGATCTTCTCTTGGCTTGTTCCATTGTCTTATATATGCAGCTAGAGCTGCTGATTTTTGTTTCTCTTCTTTTTTACGCTCATTTTTCAATACTCTTTCTTCCTTGCGTTTCGCTTTTTCTTCAAGAGCCTTCGCTTTAAGCTGTTCTTTAAATTTTCCATTTGTTCTATTGAAAAGTTTTATAATTTTAATATATCTCTAGTTATTAGATACTACAATGGTTACGGTTAGATACTATTCTTGATTCAATAAACATTGTTTTACCTTGGTTTTCGAAACTTTTTTATGTCCACACCTTCTTGATTCACTTTTTTCAATGGATCAGGCTTCTCCACTAGCTTCTGTTTTGATACATTCGTAGTAAGAAATTTATCTATTGATTCTTGTTTGTGTTTAATAGGCTTTTTAATGCGTGATGTAAAATCCGGAGGTGGACCAGCGAATATAGTATCAAAACGTACTTTATTAATGCCATATTTCTGTAAAACGCTATCCTAGAAATGCATAAAATATTTTGTTCATCAATGTACCTATCCATAATATTTCCACGTTATTTCTGATAACTTTAGTACTAACTTTAATAACCCATATTCCACTTTCATTCTGTTCACATAACTGACGTAGAAAAATTTTATTACGCTCTTTGCTGTAATGCTGTTTTCTTCTTCTCACTTGCGCCGCTTCCACTATCATAAGTTGGCTAACATCAGAATCGCCCGAGTCTAACTGTTCCACTTCATAACGAAATAATTTTGCTGGTGGATGATACTGCTGTTCTTGCGGACTTCTATGCAATAAACTTACATTATGATACGAGCGCATTCTCATACATATATAACGTAAATAGATCTCTACCTGCTGTTCTCTTTATTGTACAATTTAATTTGCTGCTCAGAAGGTGCAATAACTTGCAGAACATGGCAATCGCACCAAGAATCTTCTGTGAAACTCGCTTCTACCATTTCACCTACAAAATAACGATCTCTCGCAAACTGATACACATCCTCTATCATTTCTTTGAAGGACGATCTGTTTGTTTTACTGGCAAGGTATAATATAGGTATACGCAGCTGCAATACAAAATATACATAATCAATGAATTTGAAATTTTAATACGTAACGTCGCAAAACTGTGATCAAATTTCGTCACCTCCATGGGAAATTCTTTAAGGCTTCTTTTAGCATTTTCTTCGCATTGTAAAGCCTCCTCGAAGGTCATGTTAGTTCTGCCAGTTATGCTGCATGACCATATGAGCGAGTTGCATAAAATAATTCTCTCACAAAATTCACTGCAATCATACAATACAACGGTATAAATTCAATATTATTAATATTGCAGAAAAGAAAATAATCATTTGAGAAATCCAAACTTAAACGCATAACAAGCTAATGAATTTTACGTTCATGCAACGTTTGACAGATGTATAATATCGTGTATCTGTACACAATGTAGATACTTTGTTATTTTTTAGCAACAGTTAGTGTATTTTTCAACGTCATCCGTTCGATGTAAAGCAAACGGTTGTACGGTGACAAAAAATTAACCAAGCGCACGAGCGTGTAGTATTTATCGAAAACGATGAGAAACAATGAGGATAATGTCAAAGAAATACGAGACACGCCGGGCTGAGAAATCGCAACGACGTAACAAGATAACGAGTTTCAAGGTTGTCCTAGCCTGTCATGGTCTTACTTGTAGTCCTTGAAGATTTCATTGGTAACCTCGCAGTGGAAAACCTCGTCATCGTCTTTGAAATCTGACGAGACGTGAAGACGTTGGAACGGCTGTTTGCGAAGAAGCGGCATGTCAACACGCTCCGGGTGTACCGCCGCGCCGATGAACGTCCTGGTTCGCGTTCCTGGCGAATTGCAAATCAATCTTGCTTGTTGGGGACAGTGGATACACTCCTTTCCGGAACACTGCCAAACACATGCAACGCACGCTATCCTCTGCGAACGCGTACGACGTCTCGATTGCTTTTCGATACTGGCCAGTCGGCTCGTCGTTGACTCACTCGTCGTCACCGAACTCACCGAACTCGTTCACCGTGAGCACGAAACTTCTAACATTGTCTCGCGAAACATTTCGAATCTCATGACAAAGCACGATTTAACGGTGCTCGTGGAAGCGCGCATTCACATCTGGCATCTCGATGCCGGAAGCCAGCGAGAAGAAACAATGTGGCCAACACGCGGTTGTCGTTTAAAACGCGGGAAACAAACGACGATCGCGCAACAATGTTAAATTTCATTCGAAATTTTTAACTCAACGAATTCCTTCTCTTTCAATGTTAATGCAATTTGTGTAATTGTTACACGAGCGCTCGCGATATTATCGATGGAAGATATTTATCACGGAACGCGTGAGATATGAATGTAACGTATTAATTTTTTTGAAATTGGTAACTGGCATCCGGTCTAAATATACACGAGCGTAACAAATTTTGGCGGGAAATATTCGCAATTCGGTCAAGGCAAAATAATCGAAATCAATTCCTATATGTTTATAGGTGCCAATATATATTTTGTGAAATATAAAATAATACAAAATGTTTCTGTCTAATATTAATATTACATAGTAATGATCAATTTTAATATTACAAAATTATGTACAATATTAGATATACTATGTACAATTGTTTTGTTTTCTTCCTTATGTAACTGTATGTGTAAAGTATACACAAATAAACAACTAATTCATGTTTCTATTGCAAAACATTATTCCAGCCATTCTCTAATGTATTGGCACTTTGTAGGTGTAACATCACCAATATCATGGCAATGTTTTCTTACCTATATGATTAATATCTTTATTATTATTAAATCAGAAATAAGTATATGTGAAGAAAGAATAATGAAATAGCTTACAGGACAGACACCACAAGTAGATTTAATTAATCCAGGTGAATCTAGCAGAGGTTCTATTGCTCTGTACAAAATGCTTCCATCACTTGAAAGAGTACGTTCTACTTTTCCATCGTAAACTAAGGTGTTTAATATCATCTCTAGATCTTCAACGGATAGCTTCACCTACAAGTCCATATTTTTCTTTTGTTTTTAATATCTACAGATACAAGATAAAGAAAAAAATTGTAATAGTTGCACGAACCTTACTTATTCCTAGATCAGAGATAAATTTCCATACTTCTTTAGATGAGGCAAATGTAACGTTTCTGGCCATGATCGGCCCGCCCCTACAAGAATTCATTTGCTCTCGTTTTTTTTCCAAGAACCTGTAACATTGCTGATTGAGAACGTCAACAAATTCTGCCTCAAAATCTTGATCCTGATACCAAGCGCCGCCAGTTACGGATGTGTCTGGCTCCAAATTGTACAACATGTACACCTTTTTCTTACTCGCCGCAACAGATTTAACAGCTTTGATAAATTTCTTGATCTCCAGGCTTTTCAAAATTTTACTCAACTGGGTGGGCATTAAATTAGACTTGAATCTTATGTCGCGAATCCATATTCCCTTATTCCCTGCTTCTTCAATGATGGAATACACGATCTTCTCCTCGTTGTCTGCACCCTTAGCTATCTTCGCCTTGGAAGGATCTTTCAAACGATACAACAAGGAGCCGCTCTGCTTGAATAAATCAAAATGACCTTGAGATAAAAGTTTATTTATAATTTGAGCTCTTTCTTTAACTGGCAATTCTGGCATTTCGATGATTAAGTCTTTGTCAGTTATTCCCTTTGGTCTTGCTTGCGCTAATGCGAGTATTCTGGAAATTTAAATGTTTTGTTCCAAATATATTGTGTAATAACATGATTATATTATATGCATGAGTAATAGTTATAATCTAACCTATTGACCATGGTACGTGGTAAATGTCATTAATTTTTAGTAAAACGAAGTGAAAACTTACTTTTGTTCGATTATTTCGAAGGGATTCGTGTCCGTGTTAGTTGCATCTTGTTCCTTCGAAGTGCCAGCTTCTATTTCCATCGTGCTCTCATAAGATTAGAAATACGATTCGTTTGATTATTCTCAGTATTTGCTAGGTTATGTTTCCATGCTTTCAGTAACTTACCCGTAGCAATAAAATTACATCAACTGTATCGTTGCTTACAGAATATGGAAAATTCCCCAAATAAATCGGATATTGAAAATTCTTCGAATATTGCCGCTAAAGACTGGGATCGAATTATTAATAATGCTAAAGTGGTAAAGTCTGTTCAATGTAAAATTACAGATGTAAATCGAATTAATGTAAAATTCCAACAATGTAAAATTATAGAATAGAATAATAATTTTTTTATCTATTCCAAATTTCTACGATTTTAAATACTATTAAATATTATTATTTTCTTAAGAGAGGTTTCAGGAGAGGAATAGATGATGGGACAGATCTTGTTTATCAAGAAAGTTTTGATAATGGATACAAAGAAGGTTTTCAGACAGCTTTTATTCTAGGAAAGTTTAAAAGTTTGTTAAATTCCACACCGGGAGACGTCGAATACCCGCAAAATATAAAAGAAATTCTTGATAAAACGAGAAAAGGCGTGTGTTATATGTGTGCAACAAAACTTGAGGATATGAGCGAGACAAACCAAAAGAGTTTCGACCAAATTTTTGATGAACAAAGATCATACTCCGTACAAGTTCTTCAAATGTTGTACGAGTATTTCCAACCATATGTAAAGCAATTAAACATCAGCGAGTCGGATATATTAAAAATGCAAGATGTTCCAGATTTAAATAATTAATTTACAAATCAAGACAAACTTCTTGTATATTTTTATTAGCATGTATATTTTTATGCTTTAATTGTAAACAAAGAATGTCAAGTGTAATATTCTTATAAATATAATCCTTCGGGAGATCCTTCCTTCTTTCGATATAAAACGCTTTCTTTAGATTTCTTGAAATCATCGCTAGTAACTTTCATACGACGTTCGCGTAACGCCATTAGACCAGCTTCAGTACATATAGCCTATAAGACAAAAATATTCTTTCTTCATTCTTTTCCATTTCTTTTCCTATTTAAATGCCATTTATACAATGTCTTACCTTTATATCTGCACCTGAAAGATCATCTTTAGCCATAATTAATTCCGCTAAATTTACATCAGGTGCTAAAGTCATCCTACTGGTGTGAATACTGAATATTCTTCTTTTCGTTTTTTCATCAGGCAACGGGAACTCTATTTTCCTATCGATACGGCCTGGTCTGATCAGTGCTGGGTCTAACGTTTCGATTCTATTTGTAGCCATAACAACTTTAACATCTCCGCGGCTATCAAAACCTAAACAAATAGAGATACTTTATTACTAGAATACATATACATATTTTAGTTTAAAATGCTTTCCGTACCATCAAGTTGATTGAGGAGTTCCAACATAGTCCTTTGAATTTCACGCTCCCCACCGCTGTTGCTGTCATACCGTTTTGTACCAACAGCATCTATTTCATCTATAAACACAATAGAAGGAGCATGTTCTTCCGCAACCCTAAATAACTCCCTAACAAGTTTAGGACCATCCCCTAAATACTTCTGTATAAGCTCAGAGCCAACAACTCTCAGAAAGGTTGCAGAAGTTTGATTAGCAACAGCTTTTGCCAACAACGTCTTCCCAGTTCCTGGAGGACCATAAAGTATGACTCCTTTCGGAGGTTTGATGCCCATCTCTTCATAATATTCTGGATGTGTTAAAGGTAATTCTACAGACTCTTTGATTTCCTGGATTTGTGTATCAAGTCCTAAACAATCGGATATGTTTGTAGATGTATAACATTACGTGAAAATTTCTAATAACGATATAATAAATATTTCGTACCACCAATGTCTGCATAAGTTTCTTGCGGCGCTTTTTCTAGTTTCATGACTGTGACCATAGGATCCGTATCGTCACCTAGAACTCCAACAACAGCATGAACTTTATGATTTAATAGAACGGAACATCCCGGTTCCAATTGATCTTTATCCACAAATGACAAGATTGATACATAATGCTCAGAGCCAACAGATGTAGAAACTATGGCATGATTATCATCAATTATTTCTTCCAATGTTCCCACAGACATTGGAGTGCCTCGCAAATCATCAACCTTCGATCTTTCTTCCTCGTTCTTCTCCTCCTGTGGTTTCAGCCTCTCTTGATTTCTAATGAATTCCTCCTCCATTAACAGGTAGTCTTTTATACGTTCCAACTTCAGAAGCTTTAGTCTACAGCGTGTGTGAGGTGTAACCTGCGGTAACTTTAAAGCAGCATCCGGCCCTTTTGTACGCCGTTTCTTTTTACCCACTCTTGTCGGAATAGGTGGTTCGTACTTCTTCTTCTTGTCTTTATCATCTTTTTTGTCACCTCCTGTACCACCAGCACCAGATTGATTTTGTCCCTGTTTACAAAAAGAAAAAAGAAAATATTAAAATAATTCTAATTTTGAAACGCACAACACTTTTAATAATGTAATGAAAAAAAAAAAAGAAAATGGAAGCACAAGTTCCAATTTGAGTGTGAAATTCATCACAAAGTAAGTCACTAATTGAAATAACCTAAAATGTCAAACGGTAAGATATACATTTGTTTCGAAAGGAAATGATAACTTTCAACAATGGTTGTTCAATTGGAAATTTTGTTAGATCAAGTGAAATTTGAAGCTTAGCAAGTTGCTTAATTTACGAATAATTAAGAAAATTTCAAGAGGATACCATTTTGCATTCACTGTTTGATCACGAATCGAAACGGCGAAGTCATCCCCATTACAACAGCTGAATCGATTACGATTTCGATATCTCTCTCGTAGTACGTATATCGAAATAATTCGATATATTTTGAAAGTACAGAAATTGCTGGCGTATCTAACGTACAAGATGAAAATTGATAATGAGAGGTATTTTTATTATTGAAATTATTCCAACTATGCGTGAGTTGTATTATTGAAATTTTTCAGCAGCAACAATAACATCAAATAATAAACTGAAATATCATGTTTTTTTTATTTACGAATAGTTTACACGATTCGTGTATTCGACAATAATCACCATAAAATTGCAAAAGTGACTCTATATGAAAAAAGTGAAAAATATCTTTTGTTCAACTTCACGTGTTCAGACGATGTGTTTCTCTCTCAAAGAAACACCACACACGCATCACGTATGTATAAGCCTTTGTGATGATATAATTTAACAATATCGACAACATGTAGATTCGTGAAATTTTATTTTAATACTTCGATACACTTATCTTTGCAATAAAGTATCTTTCTCTAGCCTTTCAGTTATCGCTTCTTTTCGTAACATCCCGTTCAAAGCCGTTAAAATCAGAGTAAGAAGAGTTAAAAACAATAAAACGATTGCTCCAAACGACCGTGTTAAAAACGAGACGGTCGTGTGTATAATTTTTACAAAAGAAGGGCATTGAATAATAATGTAAAACGTTTAAAAGAAATATAATCAAATTCTATCGAGGCCAATTAGTAGAGCATAAGCCTTATTGCATTGCATGTACGTACGCTTCTTTGAAGCAACAGGTTCTACATTATGTGCAGCACTTAATTTGCTTCAATTTCTTTCAATTATTACAGAATCCATCTCATGATTGAACCGCAAAAAATACTAACAAAAAAAGAAACAAGAATTTTCTTTTCAGACAAAGTTCTATTTGATGTTTAAAAAACGTTACGATGCAAGAATTGTTGTATATCGTACGTTGTTTGTGTTATCGGTACATTAAGACGCGAACTAATCGAAATAATACTTGGTTAGTAACATAGAGCCTTCCAAGTAGAGATGTCTCTTATTCGTGCAATATTTTTTTTCTTTTCTTACTTTCGTTTTTATCACAATGGTTAGTAAGTGTTTGAGAATATGTTTTCCGAGGCAAAAAGCCTCGACGAACAGAATATAATACAACATGTACAAAATGCTCTGAACATGATGTAAGGCGTGATTGAAGCGACTCGATAAAAATATTTACGAGGCTTAAATGCCAGCTAAAATAATTCTCGGATCTTCCACGGCGTCTTTGATCTTTCTCAAGAACAGCACAGCCTCGCGTCCGTCGATCAATCGATGATCGTACGTTAAGGCGACATACATCATTGGACGAATTTTAATCTGAAAATTATAAAAGAGATTATACGAAAACTATTTGAATATCAGTTTGTTTCGATATTTTCGACGATTTACCTCGCCCTTCACTGCAACAGGCCTGTCGAACACTCCATGCATTCCGAGAATTGCACTTTGCGGTGGATTGATAATAGGCGTTCCCAACAGAGAGCCAAATACACCACCGTTACTTATTGTGAATGTACCACCATCCATATCTTCGACGGATATCTTGCCTTTCCTCGCTTTGTCAGTTATAGCTGCCATAGCGATTTCAATTTCGGCGTAATTCTTGTTTTCTACGCTACGAAGAACTGGCACCACGAGACCCTTTGGTGTTGCAACTGCTACACTAATGTCAACATAGTCTCTGTAAACTATGTCAGTGCCATCTATCACAGCATTTACTACTGGTTGGTCTTTCAGAGCGTAAGCACTCGCTGCAATAAACGGACTCATAAATCCTAGCTTCAAACCATACTTCTTTGTAAAATTTTCCTGCTGCATTTTGCGAAACTCCATGATGCGACTGTAAAAGAATGAGACGAAAAAAAGAGAAGAGAAAGTTAGTAATCAACAAAAGAGAATCAACAGAAGAGACGAAAAAAAGGAAGAATTTAACAATGACAGTTATGATAAACGTATAACAACCTCATGTCAATTTCATTAAACGTAGTTAACATAGCGTTCGTATTTTGAGCGTCTTTTAATCGTTCTGCGATGCGTATTCGCATTCTGTTCATTTTCACTCGTTGTTCTGTTCTAGTACCAATGATTTCACGTGTGTAGTCAGCAGGAGGCAGTTGCACCTTTGCACCTTCCAATGACTAAAAATTTCCATTTATTTTTATGAATAACAAAGAATTTATAACAGGAAGGAAAGAATATTTACTTATGTTCGCATGATTATTATACGCACTTGAGCATGTTTAATCGCTGCAACAGGCATAGATGCTGCAGGTGCTTGTGGAGGTGTAGGTTTAGCTGCTGGTGGAGGTATAGTTGTAGAAGGTGGTGCTGATGGTGGAGGTGGTGGTGGTGGTGGAGGAGATGGAGGAGATGGTGCTGATGGCAGTGGTGGTGCTGCACTAGGTGCAGGAGGACTTGGAGCCTTCTCAGCTGGTTTTTCAGCTGGTGGTGCTCCAACTGCACCAATGTCAATAGTACATAGTTTCTGTCCTGGCTTTACTGTTTCACCATCTTTGACAAATATCTCTTTTATTACACCAGGACCTGGTGCTGGTACAGGAACTGAAGTCTGTAAAAGGATGATGGTAAACTTGCAGATTATGAAATATACCTATGATTTTTAAATTCATTTATGTATTTATTTATACCTTATCTGTTTCAATTTCACACAAGACATCATCTTCCTTAACTTGATCACCAACTTTCTTCTCCCATCTGACGTCTCCTTCGCTTACGCTTTCTGCAAATGCTGGCACTACAACTTCCTTTATTTCCCCTATTACATACAAACGTGCATTATGCGAAAAATTTACGTGTTTAGCAACGTTGAACGTGCAATTCTTTTTCTTGACTTACATAATGAAGACGTCGAATGAATATGTCTCGCCTGGTCTATCCAACAGTGGAATTTCTTATATTTTGTACATCTGGATGCAAATTAAGAGTACATGTTAAAATTTGCTTGTTAAACAGGTTAATGATTTACATTACAGTTCATCCTAAACAAGCAGTATTATGAAGCAGTACTATAAACTAAGAAATATTTATACTTCAAGGTTACTTTATCATTTTAATATAATTCTCCAACTTACAATCGTGAGTTCTTGTTGACCACATGTTGGGTGTGGATAAATAGAATGTGCCCTACAAAAATGATTTGATACAATTAATAGTTTATGTTCATGGTAATCCCCAACGTTGATATGCCTCTCTATAAAGATAATATTTTTAGATTTCCAACATAGCTCACCAATTTTTTTTTATTATTCCATTTCTATTTAGTAGTCTTACCTTGACTGTATAAAGATCTCACAACCTGGAACAAATATATCAATACATGTACATTGTATACACACACACACACATATATATATATATATATATATATATATATATATATATATATATATATATATATATATATATATATA